ATTACCCTAAGCCACAAGATAGTTCGTTCCTGGCGTTATCGTGTGGAGTTGATGGCAGAGAAGAAGGGCTTTCAGACAGAGCAAATATTAAAATAAAGTATATGCGGCGGAGATTATAATTAATTTATGAATAAAGTGGAAGCATATTGCGAAATCACCCTCTGTATTAAATAACAAATATTACACTAATAAATCAACCTATTTTTTGCACTTTCACTGGCAAAAATAAAGCAGAGATAACAACCAAGCGAGAACTATTTTGGTTATTTATCCCGGTTGTCTATCTCCGGCTTCTAACAGACTCTCTATTTGGAACTCATTCACAGAGAAATCACAGCACGGGCAATCGTCTCACTTTCCTTTACCCGAACAATGATGTAGTTCCAGTTCCCATCACACGCTTTGATTAGGTGATATAGGGCCTGGACCGAACTAGTCTCCGTTTCCCCACATTGACACATATAAGATACAAAAGCATTAGGATCAAGTCGTTTACTGCTGAACAGCAATAAAATTTAACAATGACTTTCTCTTTCTGCGCAGTTGCTCTTTCTCTCTTACGATCGTAAAAGCCAGGCAAGTCTGGTTTAATGTCTTTAAAAGTCGACGTCGACGCTGAATCGCGCCAAGATCACACTTCAAAAAACTTACGACAACGGTGCTTCCAAGATAATTACACTATTTTGCTAGTTTTTTTAACTAAAGCGCAAACTTCAACACATTTGACCTTTTGATTCATTTCGTTCAGTTTTTAAATTATCATGGTTGAATACAGTTTTTCTTCGACCATTCGCGGGGGGAAGCTATTAATCCATGATTATTTTATGTATACGCTGGAACGAAAGGTCAATACTGCTCAATTTTGGCGATGTAAAGATCGTTCGTGCAATGGTCGCGTGCGCCTGCTTGACAACGCACTCACTGTTACCAAAGTTCACAGCCATACAGGTGACCGTGCTGCCATCATCGTACACACTTCACACATGGATTTGCGTCAGAAAGCGGCAGGTGACCTTGGACAAACACGCCAAATTGTGCAAGCAATCAACAGTACCGTGGCGATTTATCCATGCGACGAAATGTACCAGTTAAGCAACGAGTAGAGTTGCTACCAACTGTCACGACAACGAAGTATCCCACAACGAATTGTCCTTGTAACGAAACATCCTAACACCAGTTGTCCCCCGACCAAAAGTCCTTTAGACGAAGTGTCCCCGACGAAATGTCCCGCGACGAACTGTCCCGCGACGACTTGTCACGTAGCCTGTACACCATAAGCCAAGCAAAGGATCATACAGCATCAACAGGGATGTTTGTCAGCTTGTGGACACTTAATGCTACACTGAGCACTCTTTACAGCATCGAATTTACAATAATTCTGGGATTCGGAATTTTGGCACCGTTATTAACTCACACCCCCATAAGTGGCTTGGCTGTAGCGCTTGTTGTCTTCGTTGCTTTGAAACTTGGAACAAGCTTCGCGGCAGCTCGCCTTTCCCAGCGATGCGGCGATATCATCAAAAAGAATAAATCAGTTTTGCCAAATGTATAAAGCTGGTACCATAAATGCATTGCACTACAATATTGCGAGTCTAGTACAGAAAGCGATACTGCGCATACTTGATACTGAGAGGATATTGTTTGTAAATAGAGTGGTTATTTATTTCTTTTACTAATTATTGTATCGTGACCGCTGACTTTCGACAGCCATAAATGCTGTTGCAATGATTTTGTTTGCTGCTTAATGCATGTCGGTTCAGGTTCTGATTGTCAGAATAAAGTACGAGTAGTTTCCACAAACTCCATGCACTAAGTAGGTGGCAGAGGCAGCTCCGGCTTCAAACTAATTAAAACATTCATGATGAAATTGACTAAAATCCATGAAAAAGCAAGTCTGATCTGCGATCCTGACACGACAAAATCGTTACCATTTGTGTCATGAATCATGGTATCTTTTCTGTTCGTATAAAACTAGTGAGACAGTTATGATTATAGCTGTTAATATTCATTTCATTATTTTGTAAAAACAGATATTTCAGCTAGCCGTAAGAATGCCAAAAGAAATGTTAAAACAAGATTTTCGAAACACTTCATGTTTGACATTTCAAATTAATACGTAGAAAAGGCAGTTTCTGTTTGACACCACCACCATCTAGATCGAACAAGTAAATCGTGTATTATCCAAGTGCGGTCAAAATTATAGTGCATGTGTAAACGACCAGAAGGTACACAAATAACATATGAAAGAATATCACAATTTCTTACTGGTCTTTGGCATGGTTTTAACCAAAGTTTTGACGACGTGCGCAATTTACGTTAAATCCAGATCCAATAACGCAACGCGCCCGATAAAATCAGAGATACTCTCACAAAGATGATTAGTAATAAATCTACTGATACTTGCCGCCATAGCTGTCACTGTTATTACGATATCTGATCGGTACCCCTCAGCGGTAGACAACATGTGCATATTGGCATGATATTGCTTTATCAGATGCCGCAATAAGAAGAAAGCTGCACAAGTGAAGTCAATGAAATTGTTTCTAATAATGTGACTACGTCTCTCATTAGTGGCAGGGTGTAAAAGGTGGCAATGGCACCTGCCACTGGCAGTTGCCACCGGCAGTGGCATGTGGCATTTCGCCACTGGCAAGCGGTAAAACATGGCAGTTTTTAAAAGTGCAGCAAAATTAGAAATCAGTCTGCCTTCGACAAAAGTAATCTATAAACGGAATCGATTTCAATAAATTCTACACCTACAGATACTTGTCTGCGGCTAATCAACTACCTGTACCGCGCTTACCACCGGAATGAACGCTGCAACGCTGCAAAGTAAATTTATGTATCACGAAAGTTTCTTTAAAATTATTTTGTCTTAAATGTTCGCAATTTTTTAAAATTCTTTAATTCAAAAATAGATAAATTTCCTTATTTTTCAGCTTATGAGTTGTTTTCTTTATGAGCATGTTATGGCTTTTCCGGGGCCTCATCCTGATTTGCCTCGCAAAATTTTTTTAACGACGTACTACTGACAAAAACAATCTGCAGTACGAGAGAATGCTAACCGGCAATTCACTTTTCTTCGATTTTGTTGAGCGACGTGTTGCAGAAACAGTTTTGCTGAAAGGCAGGGCTTGCTTGCCGGTGCTAGAAAACCAGGTAAAAAATTAAGAAGCTCTAAGAAGCCATACCGATAAAGGGTCGCAAAGCCAGAAAAACCCAAAAACGCAAAAAATAGGAAAACTTATTACAATATAAAGAATTTATGAAATTTTTGTGCTACATAAGTCTATTTTGCGGCGTTAGAGCGCTCACTGCATTGGTAGGGGTGGTACAGGTCATAGGCTGGCAGCTGAATGTCCTTAGATCTTATTGACCCGCGCACTAACTGCGACCAGAAGTTGAAAGTAAGAACGTTCTTCCACTGGTCCTTTAGGACTTCAAATTAGGATTCCTGGTTCGTGTTCCTGATCAGATTCTGTCGGTTGTTTACTGTAATAGTTGAGATAAAGGTTTGCTCTATCAATTAGGTAGTGGCAGGAAGTGGTTAACCTCGTACGCTAACCCGTCGAAGGTGTTTTTTACACGTTAATTTCGTTTCACAATTCACTGATCTGGATGGCTGACTGATTTCTGATTATTTCTACATTTTTGAAAATTGCCATGTTTTACCGCTTGCCAGTCGCAAAATGGCACATGCCATTGCCGGTGGCAAATGCCAGTGGCAGGTGCCACTGCCACCTTTTACACCCTGCCAGCTGGTTAAAATACATATAAAAGCGCTTACTTTCTCGTTAGCATAAGCATCGAGTTGTTACACATTTTAACATAACGCTACTTTAATTATAAAATTGTGTATCAGCTTCAGTACGAGCTTCTACAAAATTTTCTGCTATATTTGCACTCGTTTATAAATCTCCACAAGCAGGACGCGCGGCGCTTACGCGCCGCGCTGACGCGGCCCACGGTTACAAACGGCTCAAAAAGTGTGGGTCTAAAGGCCATCGGTGACCAAAGGTTTTTAAAAGGCCTTCACTGACCAATGGGTTAAAAGGCCTTCGGTGACCAAAGGCCTAAGAGGCCTTCAGTGACCATAGGCTTAAAAAGCCTTCGGTGAACAAAAGCTTAAGTTAAGCAGGTACCGCACGCGTGGCCTTCGGTGACCGTAATAAGATGGGTACCGCACGCGTGGCATTCGGTGACAAAAAGCTCAAAAGGCCTTCAGTTACTAAAGGTTTAAAAGGGCGGGTACCGCACGCCTGGCCTTCGGTGACCAAAGGCAAAAAGTGGCGCGTATTACACGCGTAGCGTTTCGTGACCAAAGGCCCAATAAGGCGGGTACCGCACGCGTGGCCTTCGGTGGCCAAAGGCTCAAAGGGGTACCGCACGCGGGGCCATCGGTGACCAAAAGCTCAAAACGGCGGGTACCCCACGCGGGGCCTTCGGTGACCAAAAGCTCAAGAAGGCGGGTACCGCACGCGTTGCCCCCGTGACCAAAGGCTTCAAAGGGCAGGTACCGCACGCGGGACTTTCGGTTACTAAAGGCTTAAAAGGTGGTACCGCATGTTTACTAACTTCTTAAAATGTGGTACCGGTAAGTTAATTAAAGTTATCAGGTTCTTAAAGAACAAAGATTTTGAAGCTTAGTAAGGAGCAAACTTGAAGCTGGGATCCGATTTATCGGGCGAAGGTTATCACAGGTGAAGGTACCAAGTTTCGGAAACTTGGCAAGGACAAACGCGTAAAAGCACAGGTTTAAGGGGCTGCAATAGCTTAAAAGCCGCTAGGCGGATTCTGGCCAATCAGAACGTTCTGTCTACCATCTTTTCAATCCCGACCGCACAATCTCCAGCTCGATCAAGCTGAGACCTGAACGGAACTGCCATTGAAAACAGTTTCTTGCCTGACTACAACGCTACCAGAACCAAACTCCTTCGTGAATAACACGAAAACAGATTTATGCTGCAGCATATTCCACCTGATTTTATACCGGCAGCGCTATGGACACCAGCTTCGACAGCTTCATCAGCACGTTGACCTCGGTCAATGCCAGTTATGCAGACCCTCCAACCTTCAGTAACCTGATCAACAGCAACACACTGACCCTGTACAATGCCGCCACAGCTACCGCGGCGCCGGGAAATCTCATGATTTCCCCGTTTTCTATCTTGTACGCCACCATGCTCATGTACATCGGCAGCAGCGGCAACACCAAATCCAGTCTAGACACATCCCTGCAGTTTTCTAAAATCTGCAACGGCGACAAGAGCGCCGCATTGGATGACTTTTCCCGCGCCCTCTCCACCGTGAAATCCGTTCGCAACCCCAAAGACGCGTCCAAATATATGATTGTGTCGGTCAATAACGGTGTTTTTGTGGATAAGACCATGAAACTAAAGCCAGATTACGTTGAGAATGTCAAAAGTTGAAGTCCCTGGCTGAGCAGAAAGATTTTTGGGGAAATTCCAATCAAGCACGGACGGAAATCAACGACCGGGTGTCCAACAGTACCGGCGGATTGATTAAGAATTTATTATCTCCGGACAGCATCGATGCCATGACGAGAGTGAGTCATAAAAAATCGTAGAATCGCAAAATATGATGCCGGTAAAACACTGCATCTAAATTTCTAAACTGATGTAATTTGTACCATATGCTGATTTTTGGTAACCGTCGTGTAAATTAGTTATGTACTTCGGTTTTCACAATTAAATAAATTAACGTTTTCTTGGATTAAAGCATTTACAGGGCTCAGTTTCAACATCGGTCTAGTTGCTGTGTTTTGCATAGGTTGTTCTAGTTAACACGGTGTACTACAACGCCACCTGGGCTAGCAAATTTGATAAAGAAGATACCGAAAAACGCCCCTTCACCAATGTAGACGAAACGGAAGCGCAAGTGGATATGATGATCAAAACGGACGCTTTCCTCTTTTCCCGTGAACGCGATTTAAAGTTTAGCTACGCCGAACTGGATTACTACAACAGCGAGACGTCCATGTTGATCGTGCTGCCGGATAGTTCGCAGCGATTGCAAGATGTGGAGAAGAAGCTGACGGCGGAAGGACTGATGAAGCTGAAAGGCCAGGGTCGCAAGCGCAAAATGCGCATGGTCCTGCCTAAATTCAAAACCGAGTCGCAGTTCGATCTGGTGCAGCTCCTGCGGAAGGCGGGTGTGGATGATGCTCTTAATGGAGGTAAAGCCAACTTCGCCGATATGACGAGCGAGCGCGGTCTGTATTTCGGATCCGGTATCCACAAGACATTCATCAGTAAGCATGTTAGAACGGTGTACCAAAATAACGGCAGGGGTTTTAAGGTTTGTTGCTAACTTAATTATTCACTGTTCTGTCTGATCTTTAAGATGTGGTCGAACAAGGAACGGTGGCTACGGCTGCATCGGTATTATCCGGAGCGCGCTCGGGACCCATGGAGTTTGCTGCCGATCGTCCTTTCTTGTACGCGATTCGCCATAATCCCAGTAACTGTCTGTTGTTTATTGGTAAAGTTGAAAAATTCTAAGCGAAACAACTGACTGCAGTTTTCAGTCTCTAGTTGGGCACGAAATAATCGCTTGCTTCAGGGCGTGGTCCATAGCTTTTCGCCGTAAGTTTGATGCATGAACAATAAGTTTGCGATTTCCAGTGTAACTACAACACTGCGGTCGCGCATGCCGTAAAAATGACAGCAATATTGATAACGCTTTGTCTAATGTTAACAACAAGATAGATGCTATATTATCATACTACTATTTAGTCTTCGCTCTGCGGCTGTGTTTTGTGTACTGCGCAAAACCATCTGACTGTAGCAAAATCATTGAGATGTCACCACACTATGTGTTGAACAGAACTACAGCCACCCTAAATTTTAATTCGAAGTTATAACACAAATAAACAAAGAAGTCAACTGGCTTTATTTCCGAATCCCACTTACTCGGTAGATGAAAAGTTCAACACATTTTTGCGCCGAAAAAAGCTGACTGGAAATGCTTGTCCCGTTGTTATCCAAATGTTTTACATGTGTTCTCCAACAGCTTTAAGTGGTCTATGTATTTGTGCAAGCACGGAAGTGTTTCGACATTTAGACTTACGAAAGCAGAATTTTTCATGCTTATTCCGTTTCCCTCTTCGATTCCTTTTGCCGAGAATTATCCACGGATTTGTCAACAGACGTAATGCTGTTGTTAGTTTGTGGTGTAAACTATATCTGCTTGGTGAACCTTGCTGAATCAATGGTGATAATTAAAGATCGTTATTATGTAGCGACAGCCACAGAGACGATAGCATTTTGTTACATCTAAATCTCAAACCAAGAGGGTTACTCATCCGTATTCCCTACTATAGCTAGACAAGCTCACCGTTTCCGGTAATTTCTTCTTCGCTGCAAACGTTCAAACGGTATAAACTACGTAATTTTACATTTTTAAACATTTTACATTACCAAAGTAGCAATAGACTCATTGTGAAGCCCATCAAAAGCGACTGCAGGAAGCATCAACGCACAGTAACGCACATACAGTATGCGCTCTGTGGATGATTAAATGATGTGCAGACTAATGCAAGAAACACACCACTTGAAAATCTAATATCCAGCTAGGTTAAAAATACTAGACTACGTTATCCAATCGAATGTCAATGTTCTTCTTGTAGCTGGAAATATCACCCTTGCCTTGTGCCGCAGCATGAAGAATGTTACTCCGATCAATGTTGTAGGTGACGTCGAATTTGCATTCTCCGGCCCTTCGTGGTGGCAACTCAGCGATGTTAAACTGACCAATCCTGAATTTGTCTAGACTGAATCCGCGTTTGCTCTGATACACATTAAAAGAAGCGACAGTCTGGTTATCATCAGCTGTAACAAAGATATCGGTCTGACTGCATGGATATGGTTTGCCTCTGGGAATCAGTTCTGCTATGCGTGTATTCCCCGGTTGCGAACGGTCGCGAATCTCGATTCCGTAGTGATAAGCTGTGATTTCTTGAACATTACTGGACTGGCTGTTGTTGAAGCGATATGACTGCATAGCCGCGCCTCGCGCGATGGCCTCATCTGGGTTAGCATCACCGCACACCACATTCGGACCAAAAAATCCTTCGAGTGTCTCTTTGACAGCCGGTAGTTTACTGCTGCCACCAACCAGGATGACCTTATCGATATCGCTTGCTAGCAAGTCAGCCGCTTCTAAAGCGTTTTTAACCGGAACCAAAATACTCTGCAATAGACCGCGAAACATACCGTTGAAGGTTTTCTTGGTGAGTACGGCTTCGTATTTGAAATCATCGTGGAGTGTGTAGACGGTCTCCTTGTATTTATGTGTATGTGGACTGGACAGTGCGATTTTTGCATCCTCTGCAATCAGTTTAAGTACTGCCTTAGCTTTAGCGTCCGCGGCCAGGTTGACGCGATGCTTGCTTCGAATATCATCCAAAAAATACTGAACGATTTCGTTATCAAAATTTTCTCCGCCCAGATACATGTCGCCGTCGGTGCTGAGAACGCGGTATTCATTGCGACCCTCCACCTTCATGATGCTGATGTCCAGCGTTCCGCCGCCAAAATCAAAGACCAGAATGGTGCATTGCTCATCCATGACGCCTCCGTAGGCAATCGCCGCGGCTGTGGGTTCATTCAGAAGGGTCACTTCCGTCAAGCCGGCCAAGCGGGCTGCGCTCAGCGTCGCCGCGCGTTGGGTTTCCATGAAATTGGCCGGAATCGTCACCACGGCTTTGATAACCTTTCTGCCCAAGAAACCTTCTGCCATTTCTTTTAGGGACGACAGCATGACGGCGCTGACTTCCTCAGGGCGTAGCGTCCTTTTCCATATGACGTCCCCTGCTTCACTGCATTGATCTACCTGTAACAGACCAACATATTTAACAAAATTTAAATTATTTGATAGAAGTCTATAGGAGAGGGTAAAATTCTGCGTTCTTTACGTAACACAGAGTATGTATTAATTTTCGGTTTTGTGTGCAATACTATGTTTATCCATCATCTAAGTTAGATAGTATTATGCTTTAAATACGTGCCCGTAGTAACTGCGTACGCAGGTAAATATCGGTGTGTAAATCTTAACTGCGACAAATCTTAACAAATTTGATCGATGCACTTTCTCTTGTTCGAACTCTGTTATAACGTTTTCTGAAAAACTCCTACACAGAAAGCATTTTCGTATTACCCTGGTTAAAAATCTTACTTGCTTAACCAACACCCAAATTTTGCACTGAAACCACTACCATCATCGACTTCAACAAGTTGGAAGGAGCCACTTGCCGGTTGGGCTGCCTGTTGATTGTGAGCACGTGAATAGAAGACAAATGCAATGTATGCGCCTATGCGGTATTTCTCAGAGAAAGCAAAGTCCAGCTGATGTCAGTTTACGTACTATAGAGTATGTCCAGTTATTTACAAATACAGTAGGCCGGGTAACCGTTAACGTGATAAGTTAGCATTTCCAACGTGATAAGTTGGCCTTTCCAAGTTGGCATAACATCGTGCACTTCACACTCGGCAGTCGGCACATAATTAATTTCTCGCAAATTCTTGTTATTTTATTTATTTGTTTCTTTACTCGTACATTTTTCAAAATATATTACGAGTATTATCATTTGCTACGTGTCGCAACAAACCTCTTTTGCGATAGCAGCAGAGCAGAGTGACCCATTTTTTCTTCAGCTTTCGCCTTTCAGTGTTTATTTCCAAAAGCATTAGCACTTTACTTATTTGATCGTTAAAGCTGCGTGAAAACTGACATGATTAATAGAAAACTCACCGTTTACGACATAGTGATATACCTGAAATGTAACGAACTCCTGCCAGCACACGGCTCGTCATTGTGCAAATTATTAATTATCGTTAGCCAGTGCCAGTGGCTATGATGCCTATGAATACAAAGTTACAAACAAACCTCTATAGCCGGGGATCCTTTGTTGTTAACAATTTTAAAGGGCATCAGTCGGCGCTCACTTTCTACAGCGGGATCCTGAAAACTGCGTCCAATCAGCCGCTTAGCATTACGAATGGTGTTTCTGCTGTTTTCCGGGCTTTGTCGTTTAGCATGTTTGCCGACATCCAGACCATCTTGCTCATAACGTACCCACGAAGGAGTGGTGTTGTCTCCGGCTTTATTTTTGATTACCTGCGGACTGCGACCATGTTTATACACAAACAGACAGCAGTGCGTAGTACCCAAATCGATGCCAACTCCGTCAGCCATATTGCAAACGTTTTCACATAAACAACTGAATTGCACCAGGAATCTTAAAACCAATGGAAAGCGTAAATTCAGCAAGGTGGTAAAATTGCTACAACAGCACGAAGTCAGCGGGTCTTGTAACTATACGGCCATAATTATCAAAGCCTTGTGTTGTGCACGCGCCGTTCAGTGAAATGCCTGTCTGGTACAAGTTGTAGTTCATACAGCCCGTGGTGCGATATACCATGTTAATTGTGTATGTTAGTATGCTTTTACTAACCTACAGCTGTGTACGGATTACTTGCATATTGCGATGTACGTGCTAATGATGACTCATTTTGTCCATGTACAATAAGCGATGATATAAAACCCAGTCCCATTCTCCACCTTACTTTTCGACAGTGCGCAAATAGTGATATCAGACGACAACATTTTATTACTGTATCAGAGTTGCAAGAACTTTCGTCAGCCAACAACAATCGTGCTCGACGATCTACCCTAAAAGGATTAGATAAAGTAATCGTGCCAGCTTACCCAGTTCTGAGTTTTCTGACTGCGTCTAAACTTTGTGTAGGCTGTAAACTAAGTGTGAGTTTTCAAACAAGGAGTAGTTATCATACTGTTGCATGTCTCCGTGTGCGGTGCCTTATAAGGCGATGTAATTGCGCATTGCACAGCACATGTGTACCTGCTATACTTGAAGCTCGTCCGAATTTTAGTATATGCTATATGAGACGTATTCTCAACCGTATGTAAAAAATCTGCAAATCGAATAATTCAGGTACTTGTACAGATTACAATTAACGGGCCAGTATATTTTTCACCTCATCCAAGCGGCAAGCGTTAATTTTCCGCTGCATTTTTTGTCTTAGAAAAATGGCTGCTGTGGCCCAGGAAAACATGACCGCTACTTCGGCACCGGACAAGAAGAAAGAGTTAAGAATAGGAGTGGATATCGGATTCAAGAAGATCTCGGTTTCTGTTTATGAAGATGGAGTGCCTCGGATCCTGGCCACGTTTCCGTCCATAACAGCCTACACTACAGACCAGACTGAATGGCATTTCGGCACGACAGCACGCAGCTATTTAAATGAAGAAAACTACATCTACATTGTTTCTGTTAAGAAAATGCTGCTTGCGTACGTTTCCGGTCAAAAGGACGCCATTTTTCCGTTGCTGTTAGAACGATTATTTAAACATGTCAAGTTGATCGCGGAGACGGAACAAGGTGACAGCTTGCAAAGTGTAGCAGTCGTACTGCCCCATGGGTTCTATCACTATCCAGAAATCCGCTATCTGATATTCACCGCTTGGCAAAAAAACGGTGTAAGTGACCTTATATGCATTTCGGATACGTCGGCCATCTTATTAACCTACATCGCGCAGACGCTGGACCGACAGGCGCTCATTAAGAACACAGCCGAACACTACAATTTGATCGTGTGCATTGCAAATTATCAGCATTTTCAGGTGGACGTCTTTGAAATCATCCACAACAATTACGTCGTCAAGTATCAAAGTAATACATGTGTTGTATGGCACAGTCTGGGTAACATGCGTAGGCGCATGCTGGATATGGTTTACAAACAACTACAAAGCGTCGGAATGCGTCCGTTGGATAGTCGGTCGCTGGCTGAGTTCGAGGAAGAGTTAATGACGAAGGTGGCTCTTTTCAACGAATCTCGGACCGACAAGATTATGGTTCGCGCACCCTTCCAGAACGTTTCGGTGGCCGTAACACGGGATGCTTATGATACGATTACGGTCCCTGCTATCGATGAAATCAGGAAACACATAGTGTCGGAGCTCACACGTTTCGGGATAATGGATCCAGGAACACAGAAAATCTTCGGCAAAGTGGAAGTGCTATTGGTTGGTGAAAATTCTCGCCTCTCGCAGCTCCGTGACGCTTTAACGAGCTTATTAAACACACAGCTGAATGAAGGAGTGGTCAGCTACGTTGACGACGCGGAGGCTTTCGGTGCCGCTACAGCCATCTATTTGGCAGGAGTCAGTCAGCATATCGATAAACAGCATCTCCTCTTTCGACTGCAAGAAGGCCTTGTGCTGAACATGGGGAAAATTCTCAATACGTTTCTCCCATTAGATGAGACCAGGGCTGTGGTACAACCAGCGCGAGATGTGTTTGTCACTGATCTTCCCGCCATTCGGATACCTGGACAGCTGGTCATGGGGAACCCGAAAGATCTAGTTGAAATTTCTGATTTTTACATCGTGCTGTCCACTCAGGCCACCAGCACTCTCAAACTGCATTATGTCGAACTCGAAGGCAATATACAAGGTCAGACGGTGACCTTTATGCGCGCTCTATTAGGCACGGATATTCTTATTAAGCTGAGAAAAACAAGTGGCCAGTCGTCTAAAGAATACCTGCATTTATACGCTATAATTAAACATCCTGACACTCCTGGTTGGAATAACCTATGGGTTTTTGCGCACGACACTACAGGATACGACCGGTTCATGGCAGAATACGACGTCAGGCTACGGGAAATGATGAAGGCGTTCCCATCTTTAAGTAATGAGCAATTTGAATGCTCTGCAAACAATAACTTTAGAGAGCAAAACAACTGCTTACTTTAGCGGATCGATCATTTGTACTACAAAGCCTGTGTACAGAGGAAAGGCACTTCCAGCGTGTGTACCGCTCGTATACAATACAAGACCTGTGCACATTCCGTGCACCCAGTGACAGACTGCAAGTGGTTTTCTTCCCGTTTTGCACACAGACTCTGCGATACAACTTGATCAACCGCTACAGAATAGCGTAACACCGGTTGAGAGTTTCTGTGTATGTACTTATAAAATGTACAGTACGTACATTATTACATGTATGCACATAGTACCATGTAACAATAGTAAGAATAGCGCTAGTTGCATGAAAGCTAGAAAACATACTATAGTTTTTCGTATTCGAGTATTGATATGCACACCAAAGCTAATCACATTTCATCTAATAGTGGATACAAGAGAACCAAGCGAGGTGGGTCCATCTTTCCATACGTATGTGGCCCTCGTTTCGGATCAACTGGACAGCAAGCATTCATATAACGCTCCTACAAATAAGTATCACGCCAGTATGGTTGCCGTCAACACCAAATCTCCGCGTGGTGCTGCTATCATAATAAAACAGTGCCAAGAAGTGACTGAGAAGCTCCAGGTGGTGGATAACACCTTTATTGTTGAACCTCCTTATGGAATCCGGAAATCGTCCGGTGAAAGCGACACGGTCATTATTGAGTTCGCTTCACAAGTTTGTATGCGGATACGTTTCCCAACTGAAGCATCGCGTAAAGCATTCCTTAATGCAAAGCCATAAATTTTTGCCATCGCAATAAGCGGAGTTTCAATGAAATTACCAGGGCACCTCTAGGTTATTTTTATACAAATCTGTCATTTCAAAGATACGTTAGCTGTCTTGTTATTTGTTTTATTTAAGCACATTTATTACATAATTTTTACTGCAGTGGTTGTAATAGGTTGTTTCCAAATTTTCCAGTGTTGTTTATATCTCTGATAATGAATTTTAATTGACGTTACGGATTCACTTTGACCTTCTAATTAAGAGAATTGTGCCGGTACATGATACGTCCGAATTCAGGTACTCTGTACACGAGAGTATGCTAAACCTGATAGACCTCCGTACTTTAAACTGTTGGAATTTTTTTCATCAGTAACTCCCCTACATTTCATTAATAACGCCTTTCCTCCCCTCTCAACTCTTCAGCATTTCATATTTCATTAATAACGCCAATCACTATTGTATACAAATCCTTTGACTATGGAACATCATAAAGCAATGCACAAAAGTGTTTGAGAGTGCGCGAAAGACAAAAGTTTTAGCACGTACCCGAATTAACAGCGTTGTGAAAAGTGCGGGACGCAATATATAGCTCCTTGTATCTCCGCCCAAAACAACCCATGAAGAAAAATGTATCTTGTATATTATCGCGATTAATGAGCCACCTAGCGGATTATTGGGTATAGTGGGTACTTTGAGTTGTACAGAGTACGCTGTACTAGCACCGATAAGTTAAGCTATAATATTATGAAATCTACAAGGGCGTCATAATAAAATCAATTCAATGCCTACAGAGTAATTCAACATTGATAACAGAACGTGTGCTAGGACGCAACGCAAGAACTACGGGATATTAAATGCCAAACTTGAATTGCATATCAGTGTACAAACGAGAACTTCCAATTCAAACTATAATATAATGTACTCGTATTATTTTGTGATTTTATTGCACATTTTCACCTTTAACATTTTATGCACTTCTTGCAATGCGGAAGGGTTTCGTTATTTTTGCAATCTATGTTTGCAGTGTACAAATGCTCATGAACCTGTTATTTGCTGTGAAAACCGCTCCAGTGTGCCATTATTACCATTCACATTGTTGCGCATGCCATAGATTCAAGAGATGTTGTGACCAGTACACCGGAAATAAAACTGATAAAATATATTGGTTCTGGAGGCTTTGGGAAAGTTTATAAATCTGAAGTTAAACGGATGCAGAACGATCATCCTAATGGCATCTACGCTGTTAAAGCAGTCGAGTTGGATGATAGCTCACAAAGACAAGCCGTTCATGTGCGTCTTCGTCAGTTAACCACTATATCTGTATATCACTCCAATCTAACCCGCTATTTTTGTCATTGGTTTCTTGAAGCGACCAACCTGGTCCTAGGCACATTTCAAATCGTAATGGAGTTCTGCCCCGGTAAATTGTCTTGGTTTTTGTTCCGCCAAACGGACACTACGCATACTTCTGTGCTTATTGCCTATGATTTTCTACTTAGCGTGTGTTTAAGGCGGAAGTGCTTTCTGTACAGATAGGCATATGCGATATGTATAAGCTAAGCTTCTAAAAGTTAGGCCATTAATGATCGATTGCCGAAACAGAACTGGCGTCCAAAATCGGAATTTACGCTTTGAACATTGAATTTTAGTTTTATAGTTTTTAATCGTACAAGTTTATTGTTTCGGAACTGCGTTTTCTATAGCCCGATATTTTAACTCGCTTCTATAGCCTATTCTTAAATACTTTTTTATAGTATGTATTAGTTTTTACTACATGCTGTACATTTCGATAGGTGGAAATTTAAAGAGGCATCTGGAGCAGAGCGATGTATGCTACATGCAAATGCTGCAGTACACTAATCAGTTGTGCCATGCCGTGAACTGTCTGCACAAACAACAGAACATTTTTCATACCGATATCAAGCCTGAGAATATCTTTCTCGCTGATAAACACGTATCGGGACTGCACCGTACGGTGAAACTAGGCGATTTAGATGATCCGGTTTTTAAGAAAAAGGATGTAACGTCTGCCAGTGATGTGAGATTTCATAGAGGTACACAGCCCTACTGGTCGCCTGAGATGGCACTAAAGGCATTCGACACACAGACCATCGTCGGCCACGCCACAGACTGGTGGAGTCTGCGGTGTGTTTTGTACGAAATGGCATTTGGATTTGAGTCGTTTCTATATAAAAATATATTAACGAATGAAGAACTGTGCCTAAAAAAGGAAGGAGTTGTGGCGCCGCTGAAATTTGTAAAGTTTATAACCGATGGCGGCCGACTGGACATTCCGAGCTGTTGTAATCACACAAAACGGGCGTTAGACCGGTGTTTTTTGACAGACCCTAAGGCACGATCAGATGCAGTCGATGGCAAGCTCCTCTTTGAAGGTGTTAAAGACCTTCAAGATGTTCTTTTTATAGCTGCTACGCCGGCGTTGAACGGATGCACGAAACATGTAGCTTTGCTGGACGACTACGAAGACCTGTATGAACGCGGTAACAAAAGGAAACTTCTTAATATAAAACTTTTTGCTGCCGACATTCCCCTTGACAGTACTTCTAAGCATGGAGAAACTGCAGCGAACTATGAAGAGGATCAGTGTAACGATTGGAATCAGAAAGTAGTGGAAACTGCAAAATTTACACCAATGCTCAGCCGATTGTCAGTACCGAAATTTTGCCAAATATTGACAACCGATTAAATGCCTTCGTCAAACACCTGAAATGCAGGCACGTCTACGATAGTGTACCGGTTGAAATCGAGTGCAACTGCAACGTTGATCAAGTACCGCGCCAACACACTCCGGATTCACTACGCTTTCTCGGTGCAATAGCAGATGTGATTATGCATGTAGAGATCTCCGGGCCCCACGGATGCTCCCTGTTACAACTACAAAATGTCTTTCTACCGAATTTAATCTGTCTTAATATTGTTGATACACCGAGCGTTGCCGTTGAAGCAGATTCCCTACAAAAGTTTCCGAAACTGAAGATATTCACGTTTACCGATTGCGCTTTTAATGGGCTTTATAACAATTTTCTAACTAAAATGAAATGGCTGGAATTTTTTGGACTTAGCAGTTCCGGGTCCAAGTGCAGACAGTGGGAGAGTGATCGCACTGGTCGCGATCACCATTACGATTGGTTGGAACAATTTCTTTGCGATTACAGTGACTTATTGGATCCAAGGTTTGTCTATACGCATGTGGAGAATAGTTTCTACAGACGAACGGACTGTTCCGGTTTTCCATGGGATAACTACGGTATTGATGACGTTTTGCACGCACTAAAATGTAAGACGTGCGCCGCGGAAATCGGTACGCCTGCGCAACAGGCAAGGAGACGGCAGCGTATGCAATCCGATTTAAGGAAGCGGCCACTATTGCGGCTCGCCATCTCCGCTGATATGCGAACAAACTGATTATCAGAACATCCGTAGCTTTGGAAAACAATTTTTGTGTGCGTTTATCCAGCACGGTCAATTCGCTTGATAAAGATTGTAATGGCCGAAGTTATATCTTTCGGAATCTGGCTTTTCTAAATTGTGACAATAAAACGGTTCCGATTTTCAGAAATACGGCAAAGTTCTTGTCTAAGCGTTTTCTGAGAAATTTTTGATACTCATAGAATATTAAAAAGTTCTCCAAAGACAAAATAAATAAATGCAGGTTTACATAAGTTGAAAGTCTTTTTCGGCTCATTATTTGCCTGCAGCAATAAGTAGACAAGTCAGAGCCTGAATAGGCCAAAACATAACATTTTATTATTTGATCTGAGTCATCTGAGACGAAGCTGAGAAATAAAGTTTTTCGATAACAGGCGCAAATTGCACCTGTTACCAAAAACTTTGTATCCCTTACTTTGTGCACCCCCGGTTCGACAGCAGGCACTTTTGTAACGTGTGCCGGCCACTGTCGACACGTGGCTGAGCGTTGCTCAAAATCTCTTCATCGTGCATTGTTAACGTCCTGTGCGCGTACAGTTTTAGTAGAGTTATCGTCGCTTTCCCGACGGGCCAGACGAGGCCTAGACTCCAACTCTGACTCTGACTCTGATTCTGACCACTCAAACTCTGACTCTGACTACTCAAAGTCTGACTCTCACCGCTCAAAGTCTGACTCTGACTCTGAAGGTTTCTTAGGTTTCTTAGGTTTTTTAGGTTTCTTAGGTTTCTTAGGTTTCTTAGGTTTCTTAGGTTTCTTGTTTCTTAGGTTTCTTAGGTTTCTTAGGTTTCTTAGGGTTCTTAGGTTTCTTAGTTTTCTTAGGTTTCTTAGGTTAGGTTTCTTAAGTTATTCTTAGGTTATTCAGTCAGAGTCAGAGTGTGGAGAGTCAGAGTCAGACTTTGAGTAGTCAGAGTCAGAGTTTGAGCGGTCAGAGTCTGAGTCAGAGTCAGAGCTTGAGCGCGGGCCTACAGACGACGTCTCGAAAGTGTGCCGCTGAATGTGGTTGTAGGGTGGCGAGGTGGTTTAAAATCTGTGTTCATCCCATTGGGATCGTTTGTGCAAGCTATAGTAAAGGTACCGTAAAGACGTGACGACTGCGTTGAAAATGCATGTTCCGCCCGTGTTACCGTGTTTATCGTACCGAAGCGTGCCAGTTCTGGTTTTATTATGAAATTCAAATATTGTAACACAGCTCTCACCATCGAAGACAGACAAATTTTAAATTTCAGCTGACTTGAAACAACAACAACGAAAAGTCAGAGTCAAAAGTTTTATATCATACTGCGTTTTACGTAATATAAAAATACGAAACAAATTATTTAAGTACGGGCATATCCAAATACGACTCCAAGTGCATCGGGTAAGTCCAGACAATATTGTCAATTCCGCTTTGGTCGAAGTTCTAAAAACATTGTAAACGAAAAACTCAATTTACAGATGGCATTTCCAACTCGAAAGGCATTATTGTTTTGTTTCGTACTAACTCTATGACAATAAGACTTCATAGTTTCACAATTTAATAGCGTGTTAGAACTTACACGAGTCACGACGGCGAACAGCCTGTTTCTTCATCCACGGCGACGAGTTCGTCATTATCGAATTCTTTGCGAGGGGTGTTACTTCTGCGCTGCTTTTCTTTTGTAGCCGACATTAGTCTGAAAAAGATTTAATAAAAAACTATTTTTTGAGTAAGAAACAGTTTAATAATAATAAAAATTCAAAACAAATAACTCATTGCATCTGGAAATAAGTCAAAAATAAATGGCGTTATTGCCTAATAGTCTGTTCGTTACATACATAGTTAACAACCAGCCTACAGAACCTTTGGCGAAATCGCCGCATTTAGCCTTACCTTTTGAATGGCAACTCGACATGCAGCAATTTCTTCTCACTTCTGAGCGTCCTTTGCCATCCTTAGATTTTGACGATTATCGTCCTACTTGGCCTTGATAATAAACTGTTCTGCGAGGGACGGATGCTGATAAGCGTCTGGAATAGCGATAAACGCTGGCAAGGGGCTAGGCTGGGGCTGGATTCTTCTATTCTGCCAGGCAGTAGTGTGGACTCTGGATAGCGTCAGCACTGTGTACGGTAAAGCCCGAACAAGTTTCACTCGACAGATCATGCTTCTTCCTCCCTCTTCCTACTGCCATTTCACTGCGATATCGCAAAGCCCCCAGAAAAGATAACTTTATTAAAATAGAATGCAGTTTGTTAGGGATAACAAAAGAAAATAAGAAAATCAGAACGTTAAGTTTCAAAATGTGAATTGCTGCACACTGCACAGGTGGAAAGAACGATACGCGTTTATCGTGGCTCAGCTGAACGGCCAGCTCAGTCTGACGCACCGCCCCCCGCGTAAACAACCGGAAAGGCGCTGAGTGGAAATATTCGCAGTAATATAATTAATAAAATTACGAGTATTACTCGAAGTAACATTTACGTCGTAAAAAAATTGTTACGTGTTACTCTCCATTACTCCGCTTAAATTTTTAAAATCCCAAAATATCAGCAGACGATATCGTCAATAGCTCGCAACAATTTTCCCCGGAAAGTTCTTGTTAAAAACCGGAATTAATTCATTCAAAATCAATTTAATTTAGGTTTTGTCAGTCAAGTGCTCCGTGCAGAATTTGTGTTCAGCGCGTGTTCATAACGTACTTCGCAAAGCACTAAAACAGCCCGTGCTGTAAACGGCGGCATGACAGACCGAGCACCTCGTGTTCCGTGGCCGTGACGGGCTGTTTTTTGCAGAAACAAACCGGGACCGAGAAATCGGCTAGCCACAAACTATTGTTTTTTGCCATGCGCAAGAAGTAATTGCAAAACGGTAAAATTAATTCTTGACACGGACGTTGTCGACACTGCTGACATTTGTTATCAATATGCGTGTGACGGTGTGTCGGGTCTGCAAAATAATACGACCAAACACCCACAACTAAAATCTAACATGCCTTTAAAAATTAATGAATCTGGCAACCTTTGCATACGTGCTAACTTGTAATGCAGTACAACACGCGATTGCAAGCCATTTTATTGCAAAACAGTGACCTTTCCATTTAAACAAGTAGTTCGAAGCTTTTCGTGTAATACGTAGTACAACTTGTGGTAATAATAATTTATTACAAATTACTCATGTCTGCAGATACTATCGGATTAAATATTACAGGATTCGCCGCAGTATATAGTTAAGCGAAGCGAATGCCACTTCCATAGCAATTAGTAGAATGTTAAGATCTAGACACAGCGGCGGCAAGTGCACGTTCCACGGTAACATGCTGAACCACATTTGCACCGCCACGCACCCGGCCATCTAGTGCAGAAGTAGTCACCGGTAATGCTGTTGCAGGTCCAGCGTTTCATGCGAGGGTGATCGCCGTTATCAGTCATCGCGCTTTCATAAGCGGCGTGCCCGTCTTCCCCTGTAAAACAATAGCTATCTGTATACCGGTACGCTTTTTAACAATCAACACAGTCCGTCGCAGAAATCATTTAAAACGATTACCGTCATAGTCGGTCATGGATGTCGCTCCCAATATGACAGCCAGAATTACGACGAGTACAATGGAGGTTTTCAGTGTTGGATGCATGTTGGCGGAAAACTTCAAACAACAAAAGAAACAACTGACATCGCTTTTGGATACACAAGTTACACTGAACATCCGTAAAATTATCGGCATTTTTATCAAAGGAAAATTGCGTAAACAAAAAATATAAACACTGTGTTACTGTATCGAGGACTATGCGTTACTGTGCCATAAAGTAGTTGACCGCAGGCCACCTACCTTACCCAGCGCTGATAAAACGGAGCGCGTACTTTCTCCTTCCAGAAACAAACTAGGAACACATAAAAACACGCACGCTAATCTAAAATTACTGTATTTTCACACAATTAGATTAAGCTCTGTATGCAAATTGTAAGTACATCTGCATCTGTATACCTGCAAATGTCTGTGCAGATTTATATATGTTTAGGTCTCAGTCGTTTCTTGTTTTATTACCAGTGCTGTGTCGTAATAAGTTTTCCTTTTAGGAGCGAAACAGCGTGACAGGGACCTGTAGCCTTTCACAAGTTTGTCGCTGGAAAACTACTTTACGATTTGTGTTTGCAAATAGCCCATTTTGTGTTTTATTACGACTCTGCGGAACGGCGGAATGCGGACGCGAATAGAGGGAAAGCGATTAAAATGCTTTTGATACAGTATGTTGTTGTTTACCATGATTTTATTACCAGCCGCCAGCAGGGAAAGGTGCATTTTTGTTAGGCATTTCCCTTACCGGATGTAAACAAGCGCACAATAGTAGGACAGCGACCAATATGACTGTTAGCGCAGAGGTGTGTTAAACTTTAGTGACGCAAAAATAAAATGACTACCTCAACAAAGTTTGTTCCCCTGCTGTACAATCAAATGATACGCTCTTACATTCTTGATTTTCGAATAAGCAAAAGCTCACAGTATGGTATTTCATTCCGTGCGGTTTACAGTTAGCTTTATTTCCAATATGAACAAATAACAGTTGTTTTTTTTCAAAATACATTTGCAACAACAATAATAAATGGAATGGACGGGAGAGTACTGTACCCAAATCTTAAGGCAAATTCCCATTCACATCAGCAGTACAACCAGTTACGGCAGGTTTCTCTGCATGACCTTTGAAAGCACATGCGATGGTTTTCCTGGCCCAACTAGCATGTTAAGTCTGGTTTTGAGTAGTGTATTCATTATCCCAATTTTTTACATGCACAGCTTGGAGCGCTTCAGTCGTTTGCGTACTTATGCGACTAATGCGAGCATGGTTTTAACGTACTACTGGGATTTCAAAGTTCATACTGCTATCCTGTTTTCGCTTTAATGCCTCTCCGTTGCCCCAAAAGCCAACCAATAATGGAAAGAAGCCATCGGCTGAGATGTATCAGTTAGATTCTGCAAGGCAACGGCTGATATTTGAAATTTATTCTTTTAGCTCTGGTACCCGGCTGCGTGCAGGTGTTCACATAACAATTATCTGTACCAGGTGACCACCAATTGTATAAACGCCAGAGTCGGGAAGTGTCATCTGCGTTTCAAGAAACAGACATCGTCGAAACAATATGGGGAAATGTTTTGCCAGCGCTCCAAATATCCATTGTATGCGCCTTTGAACTGGACTCGCTCGTATCCGTATTATATCAGCAATATTTATGAGGATTGCCTGGTAAGTACGTTTTTATCCATTTGCCATATTCTGTAGACTGTATTCATTCAACAGTAAATATTTTTGTTGTTCGTAATTTTCGTACTGGATTCTTATTAACGACGAGCTTTAGCAGCCTGTTTCGCTCGGAAAGTAACTACTACGCATGGACAAAAATGGGATCATTTTTTATCTTAAAATACAGTAAGCGCCGAAATCAGTGTAGAGATTGTTAAATGTGCAATTATTTTAGGGCACAGGAGCCGTTGTTTCGCTGTTCATGGCTGTTCACGACTACGATACGGTAAATGAATATCAAAATGCAACCACTAGAACAAACAAGACTTCAAACAACCGTTTACAGATTTCCAGTGAAATCTTCATGGGTGTGGCCGGCGTGGACATTCAGATGGAAGAAATTTCTGAGCTTCTTGCTAACAAATCCAATGTTTTAAGAACCATCCTCATTAACAAATCGGGTTATGTGCTTCACCATTCGCATTTGGATCGGGTCAACCGTACAATGTGGAATAATTTCTCCGTTGTTGTGGATTGGACTACACTAGAGCCTCGTTTGCCGGAACTAGCAAAGGTTCCATTTAAAGATCAAATTACTGTAGCCGGCAGCCAAATTCTGAACTTCGTTTAAATGTGCGTTAGATCAAGCGTAAGGTTTATCGTTGGCAATCCGGCCACATCCATACGGTTTTCTGGGAACGCTCCAACGATCCCCGACGGCTGCGTCCAGTACCAGTGACTTATGTTTTTGAACCAGTTGTCGATGATAAGCGAATGCTGATATACGTACATACGGGGAAATATGGTCAGCCATGCACCGTAAAAGCAATGGGACGTGCGGAAAAATGCGAAACGTATTGCGCCAGTTTGAACGACCTTATTCGGAACTCCGTTACGGACTATAAGCGTCCATGGCTGGTCTGTTGTGGAACGGTATACTGGTTTCAGAGGTTGCATAATTTTACCGTGAATGATGTCCTGTACAATGCTCTTTATCGGCCGGATGAAATCCAGTTTCAGCCAAGTACAAATTTTGAGAAAATTACGATAAGCCATACATATTGTACACGTCGGCACAGTTATTTCTTTGCAGTACCGGCCCAAATGTACAACGAGATTGCGGGATACGATATGCTTATGTACCGTTTGCTCCTTCGGCATCCTTATCCCGCTGGTACGTAGTACTTGAACATAATTTCGTTCGCGGCGAATTCGCATTGGCTGTTTTATCAATCTAGTCATCGGCACATTCACCGACAAGAGTACGATACTCTCCGCCATGGAATTAGACCATGAAAGACGCCCCACTCTGATAATGGATGATTCGGGGACAATATACGCTGACTACCGCAACGGGTCTAACACCACCGAATCGTTCACTCATGTATCCGAATCACACGATCACCTTTGGGATCATTTCCTGGAAAAGGGAATTCTGGAAAGGTAACGAATTGAATAATGCTGCAGAAAGGATAGCCATATTTTGCTTGTGATCTTTCAGTGAGATGTTTGTGGTTCCGGCTTTTAACTGTTCGATTACTTCTGGAGCCAGCAAATCAGTGCCTTTGCTAAAAGTTGGCCTTCATTCCGATGTGGCATATGTTATAGAGTGTTTAAGGTATGGTGCATCTGGAAGACTGTTGTATGAGTTAGGACGTAAATATCATTAAAAATTTCGGTCCTTATTGACCACAGATACATCGAATACATTAATTACTGAAACCGTTTTGATGCAGGTTATTCTGGACTATTTTCGGTCAGTTCAGTGCCTTACTTGGTTTAACGATTCTGTGGATTCTTCCAGTGACAGTATTCGCGTTAAAAGCCGACGAACATCGAAAGCTCACAAGTAATTTATGCACCAAGGAGGAAATGCTTTCGTACTGGAGGAAAGGGGAGGTTGCGTCATACGGGAGCGTCAAATGCAGCAGTTCAATACGGTATTTATCAAATCAATATTCGTTGCCAAAACTAGCGCAGTAATTGTACTGCATTACAAATTCACTTGTGGAAATATAATTGTTAAAAAAGCTCCTTACTCTTGGTACACTTCCTCACCCATTCTAGTATGTAGTACAACATCGCCATTTGATACATTTGCAGTGAATTCGGGCTAAATAAAATTTCGGGAACAAATTTGCTCATGCTGACTGCAGCGCAGTACGACAATCCAGACGACAACTGCCGGAAAGATCCAATACGAATTGCTCCGACTGCCGACAAGTGCCCAAATCAGGACAGTATTAAACGTACATGGAAACCGATGGCTTCGGAATTTTTTCCTTCGAGTGTGTTCGACTACATGTCGACGGAAGATTGTGCCTATGCCAAGGTGGTATTTGCTTCGAGTACAGCTGCGCTGTATACCGGCTCGTATCCGCTTGCCATCGTGATCTTTAGTGTGGTGATTGCTGCTGTGGCTTTCTACGTGATAGTGTAATGTGGAAAAGATATTGATTTTGAAGTTCTTTGGGAAACTTTCTTTGGGAAACCCCAAATCTGCAAAATTTTAACTTGTTTGGTGATGAAAGAATTACAATACTTTGCTCGAATAAGGGAAGTGACCCTATACATTGTAAATTTGTACCAGATTTTTGCACATCCACGAAAACAGTCGCTTTCGTAGTTGCGCACACTTCCAAACCTTTTTTGCTTTGTTTTATGACATTCTACTGCCAGATAATTTGTACATGTCAGCATCAGAACCGCTTGTGAGCGTAACAACCGGTTTGGGAGTTATATGGCTGCAAGGAGCCTGAAAAAAGTTTAAAAGCATTCAGAGGTTCCAAAAGTCTCATTATGGACCGAAATTTTTCCGGCATGCACACGAAGTAGGGAACATGTACTGCGTAACTTTCCTTAAGGGCATCAGTGGTATGCGCTCATTTGGAATCTTTCAGCGGATGTGTGACATTCTGCTATCCTGAAAGAAACAGCTATTAACGGAATTACGGATAGGAGAACCTATTCAAACAACCACTGAGAACATGTCTCAGCGCGTCTGTTGTTAAAGATAAAAATACAGTATAAACAGGTGTCGAAAGCGATATTCTTGCCCACAAAGGCAGTTACTTGTGTTTTGTAGCTGACAGTTTAAAAAACAAATGAGTAATACAACGGCGCACCTGAATTTCCGTGTTAAATTTGTTGCATTTTTACGCGCAAAAATATAATAGTTTTGCTGTGTTGACTAGTGCTTTGAATGAGAGTAGTCTGATGACCCAACCTGATTCGTCTTCTTATCATGGTAAACCATTCGTGCGTACAATACATACATGTGTACATGCACATGCTGTACATGTGTAAATAATGCATGTGCTGGCTGTTTAAACATCACTGAGGAATAATAAACTAGATATGTGAAGGCGGAACCCGGAAACCAGATATGCCGCGGCCGGTCTCCCATGACCAAAAAATAAACTTATATTGGTATAATCTACAGAGTATATGAAGTTAAAGCGGTACACTATAGCGTAGCTACAGTCGAGCCGACGGTGATTAAAGTTCTTGAAATCAGCTGAATCTGAAACACACTATCTACCATCTTTTCTATTAAGACCGCACAATCTGTGGCTCGATCAAGTAAAGACCTGAACGGAATTGCCGTTGAAAACAGTTCCCTGCCTGACTTACGCCACTATCAACACCAGCTCCGTCGTGCATAAGGCGAAAACAGATTTGCGCAGCATCGTGTTGTACCTGATTTATATACCAGCAGCGCTATGGACACCAGCTTCGAGAGCTTCATCAACACTTTGACCTCGGTCAATGCCAGTTATGCAGCCCCACCAACCTTCAGTAACCTCATCAACAGCAACACATTGAACCTGTACAATGCCGCCACAGCCACCGCGGCGCCGGGAAATCTCATGATTTCCCCGTTTTCCATCTTGTACGCCACCATGCTGATGTACATCGGCAGCAGCGGCAACACTAAATCAAACCTGGACTCCGCGCTTCAGTTTACCCAGATATACAACGGCGACAAGAGCGCCGCCTTAACGGACTTTTCCCACGCCCTTTCCACCGTGAAATCCGTCAGTGATCCACAAGATGCGTCCAAATATATGATTGTGTCCGTCAACAACGGCGTTTTTGTCGATCGGACCATGAAGCTAAAGCCCGATTACGTTGAGAATGCTAAAAGCAAGCTGAAGTCTCTTGCTGAGCAGAAAGATTTCCGGGGAAATTCCAGTCAAGCACGAACGGAAATCAACAATTGGGTGTCCAACAATACCGGGGGATTAATTAAAAATTTGTTATCTCCGGACAGTGTCAATGCAATGACAAGAGTAAGTAATACAAAATCATGGATATCGCACGCATGAGTGCACGGTGCCGTAAAATACTGAATAATTTATTTTCAGTAGTTGCCGCATACAGAGTACAGTTAGGGTGTGCCTCGGTTTTTCAGATTAAATTAATTAATTTTAAAGGCAATTAAAGCATTTCTGTGTGAGCTTGAACTGCTCTTGTTAGCTGTTGCTCTTTTTTTCTATAGGTTGTTCTAGTCAACACGGTTTACTACAACGCCACCTGGGCTAGCGAATTTGACAAGGAGGACACTGAGAAACGCCCCTTCACTAATGTGGATGGAACGGAAGTACAAGTGGATATGATGATCAAAACGGACGGATTCCTTTTTTCCCGTGAGCGAGATTTGAAGTTCACCTACGCGGAACTCGACTATTACAACGGCGAGACGTCCATGCTGATTGTGCTTCCCGATAGTTCTCAAAGCCTGCGAGATGTAGAGAAGAAGCTGACGGCGGATGGGCTGATGAAGCTTAAAAGTGAAGGTCGCAAACGAAGAATGCGTCTGGTCCTGCCTAAATTCAAAACGGAGTCGAAGTTCGATTTGGTGCAGCTCCTGCGCCAGACCGGTGTGGATGATGCTTTCAACGGAGGCAAAGCCAACTTCGCCGATATGACAAGCGAGCGCGGTCTGTATTTCGGATCCGGCGTGCACAAGACATTCATCAGTAAGCACATGCAAGAGGCTGCTAGCAAAAGAACAGCAAAATTCCTTTGCGCTTTACGGCTCACTTAATTATCCTTTGTTTTTGATAAATTTAAAGGTGTGGATGAGCAAGGAACGGTGGCTGCGGCTGCATCTGTGCTATCCGCAGGTCGTTCGTGGCCAATGGAGTTCGCTGCCAATCGTCCGTTTCTCTACGCGATTCGCCATAATCCAACTAACTGTCTGTTGTTCATTGGCAAAGTGGAGAAATTTTAAACATAATAGGTTACTGGCTGCATTTTGCAGTTTCGGTCCGGTATGAATTACTGTATTACCCTGCTTTAAGATTAGACTGCCTTTTCCTCCTGAAATTCGAAAGATCAACATAGCGTGCCAGTTAATGCACATGTACCGGCAGGTGCCACTTTTCTTTTACAGTCTTGTCATTTTACCACCTACTTTTGCTTGAAAGCGTTTTCCAAGAATTCTGTGCCAAGCATTGCTATAGAAGAGTACGAAATAAACTCTTGCTGTACTGCACACAATTAAATTCAATAACTATAATATCTGTCAACTGACCAAACTATGCACAGATTAAAAATGAACCATCCAGTTCATGCTGCTTCTCAACAATTACAAAAACACAGGCAGCATTACCACGCTGAATTTCTACACGAAAACGTCGTATAAGAAAATGCTTTGCGCTGCTCTCAGATACGCCTGGCCAGCTTATTAAAAAAATCCATATTCAGAGGACCGCTGCTTCCCATTGTTTCTAATGAGACGGGTTGGACACTGTAGCGATCAGCAGAGTCAGCCTACTTGTCACATTTCCGGCGTTCAGCGGCTTCTGCTGCAGCTCCAGCATGATCGGATGTCTGACCAATTTATATCTGTGCTAACGGATCGGCAACTGTAACGTCCCACACCAACTCTTTGCCGTTCTTCCACGGATAATGAGTCAATCCGTCCGGTCGCATACTGTTCTTTGGATCTAGGCTCGCGGATAGATGATATTTTTCGCTGATCCGATCGCTCTTTGTGGGATATCGTTTAAATGCTCGTGACGAGGGATTCTTCCTTTGCTTCATTTACAGGACAGACCGTGCCGGCCAAATTCCACCGTATCTCCACAAATGTATATATATTCGCTACAGATGATTGCAACGAGTGCTTTCGTAGCACAACACGACGATAAGTGGGCAGGCAAGGAGATCTCCTCTGCTTTCGGAAGTCCTATTCCTCCCATCCGGTCGGGAAAGGAAGCCTGTTTCCACACTAACTCCAACATTTCGACGTTAGTGATCTCGTGCGCTTTCTTTTTTTATGGCTTCGTTAAATTCGTGCAGGCACGAACGGGCACCTTCAACAAGGCGAACACCCAAGGGTAAACAATAACCTGGCAAGCGATAGCAGGTACGTATTTAAAACATTAACTTATTAGAAAATTAGCGAAAAACTGTGCCGTGCCATTAGCTGGTGTGCCTTTCTTCACGTGCTATATGCACTCCCAGAACGACAGCCAGTATTACGATAACCAGAAGGAAATTGTCAGTGTTCGATGCATGATGACAGAGAACATCTGCTCACAGAAGAAACAACTGAAAGAAACAGCTCGTCTGGATGATAAATATAATTATTTCAAATGTTTGCAAAATCATTTAACTTCTCTAGAGCCTCTGCAGGAAAACTGTACAATAAGAAAATAACGTAAGAATATCGACTACAATGGACACCATAAATGTGGTTACACTTAAACCGCGCGCAACCAGATACTTATCTGTACTCAGACAGAAAATTCCGTGCTGGCCATCGGCCTGCTGATGTTTACACTTGCACCTTGCACACTTCCCAACGAAAACTATCAAACGATATCTCAAAAGAATGAGAAAAAAATTCTAAGAATTTTGATACCATACAAATTCGTTTTTGTTTCGTCTAAGAGAAAATCGAGGTTCCTGAAGTTTCCCGTAGACAAAGCATATGCGTGAAAACAAACCAAACCGTGGATTCAAATCCTATGCTATGTCTACGGGAAACTTTAGGAGCCTCGATTTTCTCTTAGATGTAATAAAAACCAATTTTTTTGGTATCAAAATTCTTAGAATTTTTTTCTTATTCTTTTGAGATATTGCTTGATGATTTTCGTTGAGAAATGTGCAAGTTCCAAGTGCCTGAGTTTAGCATACGAGTCTACGCGCAATGGACATGACCGACTTATTTTGGTCTGCTGTTGGTCCTGCCGTTAAAATATCGGTCCTCGGACCGATTGTCTAGTGTAACCACATTTATGGTGTCCACTGTATGATCGTGCACCTCACGGAGTACTGCTGAATGCTACATGTCAGTCTCTCCTTCAGGTAGAAACAGGAATTGAATTGGCAGCACGAAAATGAAGGCAGAATTCGGAAACATTAGTTTTGCTGGTGACTGGATCGGCGACTTCCTTTGCGCTAGCTGGCCCGGTGCGTGGCGCTGCAGGTGCGGTGCAGCATGCTACAGAGGAACGTGCACCTGCAAACGCTGTATTTAACTAATCTGACTGTTCCCGAAACAAATTACACAGACGATGGGTATATATTGTTGTTATGTGGAAGATGTAACAGCCATTCTGGTTATCACACAAAAAAATGAGAGAAAATAATGCAATAAGTCAAATACAGTAATGTAATAAGTCAGACGTAATAATGTAATAAGTCAGTAAAATAATGCATAAGTCAGACGTCAGTCAGATGAAAATAATGTAATAAGTCAGACGTTTACAGTTATTCACGGGCCTTACGTGCCTATGTGGTTTTTGTCTTCTTGACTAGAGTAGGGAATAACGGCACCGGCAGCATACGGTATTCCCCACAGATAGACCTGTGTTGGTTAATCCATCTGCTTTGCATATCATGGTTTTCCAAAGGCTCTTAACATTGTCTTTCCTCCAGAATCTATGGAGATATAAGAGAAATTCGGTAGCGCACTATACACCTTCCTTGTGATGTTCCAGTCGTCAGTATGAATCAGTTTCCATGTCCTGGCTGAACATGCTTTGGGTGGCGGGGCGCGGCGGGTTATGAAAGATGGTGTCATCCATAAATTATTTAGGACATTCTTATTTGCGAATGCTTAATATGTAATCGGGCTAGGGCAAATCGTACATGTACCTACATCAGTGTGCCGGTATAAATATAGCGCTTTAAAACTGCTTAAACATGATGACGAGGGATATCCACTCAGGATCGGGATAACTGTAGCAGTAAAAGTGAGGTGTACACTGCGCTAACGAATACCCTCTTTGTATATTCTGCAGCTGTTGTCTTGGAAGTTTATTAGCCCATTAGTAAATTCAGGAAACGATCGCAAACCGTAGTGCCAAAATTCGCATAGCTCCAACAGAAAACCATAACAACAACGAGATAAATCGACATAAGGTAAAATAAAACTCTGGGTGGTTTGAACTTTGAACCGTGTGTTGTATATGCGACAATGGCGCCGATATGCAACTTTTTTGATATGCAACGATATGAACGAAGAAATATGCAACTTTATTTATCGCCACATAAACGATAACGAAGGTGAGCATGAATAACAAAGAAGCTGACACTACTAACGGCTGTATGATATACTTAGCGTACTGCTGCCAGGTACAACCATCCAAGCAAGTGCAAATCCATAATCCATGCTGCATACAATATAATTTGGAGCACGTTTTTACCGTAAATCTTATTATCTATAGATTTCCGCGTTGTTCTTGCAATCCAAGTTCTTAAATATTGATGAAGCTCCCCTTTCGTGGTGAATGAATAATCATCCTTGTGTGGTATTTTCGCTTTTTTCGCTCTGGCGATTGAAATACTCGTGCAGCAGATGGAATGACCAGTAAACCTGAATTAAACCTGAAAAAATATATAGGATCTGGGGCGTATGGAAAGGTCTACGAAGCCGAAGTAAAGTGGGAACAAAACGACCATGCAGAAGGCACATACGCAGTAAAGGAAATAGAGCTGGATGATGGCTCACAGAAAAAAGACATTCATACCGGGATTTCTATATTACTCATTTTGCAACATCCCAATCTGATCCGTTATCATTGTCACTGCTTTCTTGAAGCGACCGAACTGCACAAAGAAAAATTTCGACTTGTGATGGAATTTTGTCCCGGTAAATCGCGAAAGTCTTTGCACGTTACTACGCGGTCCCTTAATGAGTAATTGTTGCGCTGTAAATGTATGTAATACCTGCAACTTTCTTGCTGAAAGAAATTTACCAAAGCCGAAACTTTTTATACTACATAAGTATATGTGAAGCTATCCATTCTAGACTGGTTTCCTAAAAGTTAGGCTTATGACATACCGTACATTACTTGGAAAAGTGAATATTGCATTTGATCCTAGTGTTCCATTTGTACATACTACGTATTGGCTCTCAACGACTGTTATTTATTTCGACAGGTGAAAATTTAAGGAATTATCTCGAGCGGAACGATGCGTGTTACATGCTAATGCTGCAGTACACTAATCAACTCTGTCATGCCGTGAATTATCTACATACACAACGGATTATTCATACTGATATCAAGTCCGAGAATATTTTTCTCACTGATATACATGTATCGGGACTGTTCCGAACTGTGAAGCTTGGTGATTTAGATGACCCTGTTTACAAGAAAGAGGATGAAACATCTGTCAATGATATGAGGTCTCACAGAGGCACACATTGGTACTGGTCGCCTGAGATGGCGCGGAAGGCATTCGATCCAAAAATCAAAGTCGGCTCCGCCACGGATTGGTGGAGCGTGGGGTGCGTGTTGTACGAAATGGCATTTGGATTCGAATCCTTCCTCTATAAAAATACATCGATGAATGAAGAACTATGTCGGAAAAAGGAAATTGCGACGGTGCCAAGGTTTGTAAATTTTATCAATAATGGTGGTCGATTGGACATTCCCAGCTGCTGTAATCACATCAAACGAGCTCTAGACCGGTGTTTTCTGGAGGATCCAACGGCACACTCCGCTGCAGTCGAGGGTAAATTACTTTTCGGAGGTGCCAAAGACCTTCAAGATATTCTCTTCACTGCTGCGACGCCAGCGTTGAACGGATGCACGAAACACCAAGCATTTCTGGAAGGCTACAAAAAACTACTCGAGCATGTTGAAGTCGATAATAAAAGGAAATTACTAAGTGTAAAGCACTTTGCTGCCGACATTCCCATAAACAGTCCTCCTAAGGAAGGAGAAGTAACAGACCAAGGAGTTTCGGTAGTGAAGTTTAAAGACGCTTTATCTACTGTAATGGTCTGGAGCGGAAAGTTGTGGAAATTGTCAAAGTTTATGCCAACGCACAGCCAATTGTCAGTACCGAAATTTTGCCAAATATTGACAACCGATTAAATGCCTTCGTCAAACACCTGAAATGCAGGCACGTCTACGATACTGTACCGGTTGAAATCGAGTGCAACTGCAACGTCGATCATGTACCGCGCCAACACACTCCGGATTCACTACGCTTTCTAGGTGCAATAGCGGATGTGATTATGCATGTGGAGATCTCCGGGCCTCACGGATGCTCCCTGTTACAACTGCAACATGTCTTTCTGCCGAATTTAATCTGCCTTAATATTGTTGATACACCGAGCGTTGCCGTTGAAGCAGATTCCCTACAAAAGTTTCCGAAACTGAAGATATTCACGTTTACCGATTGCGCTTTTAATGGGCTTTATAACAATTTTCTAACTAAAATGAAATGGCTGGAATTTTTTGGACTTAGCTGTTCCGGGTCCAAGTGCAGACAGTGGGAGAGTGATCGCACTGGTCGCGATCACCATTACGATTGGTTGGAACAATTTCTTTGCGATTACAGTGACTTATTGGATCCAAGGTTTGTCTATACGCATGTGGAGAATAGTTTCTACAGACGAACGGACTGTTCCGGTTTTCCATGGGATAACCACGGTATTGATGACGTTTTGCACGCACTAAAATGTAAGACGTGCGCCGCGGAAATCGGTACGCCTGCGCAACAGGCAAGGAGACGGCAGCGTATGCAATCCGATTTAAGGAAGCGGCCACTATTGCGGCTCGCCATCTCCGCTGATATGCGAACAAACTGATTATCAGAACATCCGTAGCTTTGGAAAACAATTTTTGTGTGCGTTTATCCAGCACGGTCAATTCGCTTGATAAAGATTGTAATGGCCGAAGTTATATCTTTCGGAATCTGGCTTTTCTAAATTGTGACAATAAAACGGTTCCGATTTTCAGAAATACGGCAAAGTTCTTGTCTAAGCGTTTTCTGAGAAATTTTTTGATACTCATAGAATATTAAAAAGTTCTCCAAAGACAAAATAAATAAATGCAGGTTTACATAAGTTGAAAGTCTTTTTCGGCTCATTATTTGCATGCAGCAATAAGTAGACAAGTCAGAGCCTGAATAGGCCAAAACATAACATTTTATTATTTGATCTGAGTCATCTGAGACGAAGCTGAGAAATAAAGTTTTTCGATAACAGGCGCAAATTGCACCTGTTACCAAAAACTTTGTATCCCTTACTTTGTGCACCGAGAAATCGGCTAGCCACAAACTATTGTTTTTTGCCATGCGCAAGAAGTAATTGCAAAACGATAAAATTAATTCTTGACACGGACGTTGTCGACACTGCTGTCATTTGTTATCAATATGCGTGTGACGGTGTGTCGGGTGTGCAAAATAATACGACCAAACACCCACAACTAAAATCTAACATGCCTTTAAAAATTAATGAATCTGGCAACCTTTGCCAAATACGTGCTAACATGTAATGCAGTACAACACGCTATTGCAAGCCATTTTATTGCAAAACAGTGACCTTTCCATTTAAACAAGTAGTTCGAAGCTTTTCGTGTAATACGTAGTACAACTTGTGGTAATAATAATTTATTACAAATTACTCATGTCTGCAGATACTATCGGATTAAATATTACAGGATTCGCCGCAGTATACATAGTTAAGCGAAGCGAATGCCACTTCCATAGCAATTAGTAGAATGTTAAGATCTAGACACAGCGGCGGCAAGTGCACGTTCCACGGTAACATGCTGAACCACATTTGCACCGCCACGCACCCGGCCATCTAGTGCAGAAGTAGTCACCGGTAATGCTGTTGCAGGTCCAGCGTTTCATGCGAGGGTGATCGCCGTTATCAGTCATCGCGCTTTCATAAGCGGCGTGCCCGTCTTCCCCTGTAAAACAATAGCTATCTGTATACCGGTACGCTTTTTAACAATCAACACAGTCCGTCGCAGAAATCATTTAAAACGATTACCGTCATAGTCGGTCATGGATGTCGCTCCCAATATGACAGCCAGAATTACGACGAGTACAATGGAGGTTTTCAGTGTTGGATGCATGTTGGCGGAAAACTTCAAACAACAAAGGAAACAACTGACATCGTTTTTGGATACACAAGTTACACTGAACATCCGTAAAATTATCGGCATTTTTATCAAAGGAAAATTGCGTAAACAAAAAATATAAACACTATGTTACTGTATCGAGGACTATGCGTTACTATGCCATAAAGTAGTTGACCGCAGGCCACCTACCTTACCCAGCGCTGATAAAACGGAGCGCGTACTTTCTCCTTCCAGAAACAAACTAGGAACACATAAAAACACGCACGCTAATCTAAAATTACTGTATTTTCACACAATTAGATTAAGCTCTGTATGCAAATTGTAAGTATATCTGCATCTGTATACCTGCAAATGTCTGTGCAGCTTTATACGTATATGTTGAGGTCTCAGTCGTTTCTTGTTTTATTACCAGTGCTGTGTCGTAATAATTTTTCCTTTTAGGAGCGAAACAGCGTGACAGGGACCTGTAGCCTTTCACAAGTTTGTCGCTGGATAACTACTTTACGATTTGTGTTTGCAAATAGCCCAAATTTTATGTTTTATTACGACTCTGCGGAACGGCGGAATGCGGACGCGAATAGTGGGAAAGCGATTAAAATGCTTTTGATACAGTATGTTGTTGTTTACCTTGATTTTATTACCAGCCGCCAGCAGGGAAAGGTGCATTTTTGTTAGGCATTTCCCTTACCGGATGTAAACAAGCGCACAATAGTAGGACAGCGACCAATATGACTGTTAGCGCAGAGGTGTGTTAAACTTTAGTGACGCAAAAATAAAATGACTACCTCAACAAAGTTTGTTCCCCTGCTGTACAATCAAATGATACGCTCTTACATTCTTGATTTTCGAATAAGCAAAAGCTCACAGTATGGTATTTCATTCCGTGCGGTTTACAGTTAGCTTTATTTCCAATATGAACAAATAACAGTTGTTTTTTTTCAAAAATACATTTGCAACAACAATAATAAATGGAATGGACGGGAGAGTACTGTACCCAAATCTTAAGGCAAATTCCCATTCACATCAGCAGTACAACCAGTTACGGCAGGTTTCTCTGCATGACCTTTGAAAGCACATGCGATGGTTTTCCTGGCCCAACTAGCATGTTAAGTCTGGTTTTGAGTAGTGTATTCATTATCCCAATTTTTTACATGCACAGCTTGGAGCGCTTCAGTCGTTTGCGTACTTATGCGACTAATGCGAGCATGGTTTTAACGTATTACTGGGATTTCAAAGTTCAGAATGCTATTCTGTTTTCACTTTAATGCCTCTGCGCTGCTCCAAAAGCCGACCAATAATGGGAAGAAACCATTGGTTGAGATATATCAGTTGAATTCTGCGAGGCAACGGCTGATATTCGAAATTTATTCTTTAGTTCTGGTACCCGGCTGCGTGCAGGTGTTCACATAACAACTATCTATACAAGGTGACCACCAACTGCGTAAACGCCAGAGTCGGGAAGTGCCATAATATTATGTGTTTCAAGAAACAGACATCGTCGAAACAATAAGTAATTAAATACGTGCCTAGCATTGTTGCACATGTAGTATAATAACTACTTTGTGGCATTCGTCTTAGAACGCACACTACTCGCCAGTACTCTGTACATGTAAGCATTATTTTACGTGACTTTCCTTATGCTCCCGCAACAGCTCAGCGAAACTCGTATAACACGTACTGACGAGTGACAAGTATAGAAATTCGAGTGAGAAGAACGAAAATAATTTGCAAAAACAATGCTTCGCATCTTAACCCGATAGCAGCAAAAAATAGTTTAAATTAACCCTAATAATATATTAAAATATTTTAATTTAGCTGTCGAGGGTAATTTAACGCTTATAGTTTCCAGGAGAAGTCGCAATCGGTCGACGCCGATTCCCCCAATTCCGTCCGTTTCCGTTCCATCGATTACCACCATTCCACCCGCAACATCGATTGTAACCCCAGTTATTATTGTTTCCCACAAACAGTACCGGCACATCGTAGCCAAGAATGCCGGTATTGAAGCCGGTGCTGTACGGATATGTATTGTACGTGTATGGATAATTATACGAATATGTTGAATATGTCGGATACGTCACTACCGGCGTGGATACTGGGCTGACATACGTGGCATAATTCACCACGGGGCTGGACACCGGGCTGGCGTATGTGGCGTAACTGGGACTGGCAATGGCGCTGCCGCAATTAGCGGTAACGGTAACGGACGCTTGAGTGGAACCATATTGGTTGCGCGCGATAACGTTGAAACTGGTTGTGGCGGCGATGGTGGCGCTCAGGGATAGTGCACCGGACGGACTGACACTGATGACGAACGAGTTGTCGGTGGAGTAGGATGGGTTTCCGCTGGCCGATACCTGACCGATGTACGTACCCGCGCTGCAACTGCCGATCGTGAAACCGTAAGAGCTTTGAGAAAACAGCGGAAAAGATTGCGCTGAAACCTACATGCAATAAGCGTCTTGAGAACTCAATGTTTCCTGACTTATATCCAAAAACTGCTTTAGAAACTGGACTTCATTCATGATAGCCGAAAAGAATAACCAAAATCCAAGTTTCGAGAACTCCAAAGGGTAAATAAATACAGTAAATGAAACTAAACTGAAAGTTTGTGCTAGCTCATAAGTCATAACCTAAATGCTGCAATACATAAGTAGACAAGTCACATGCACCTTCAATACGCCAAAACATAACATTTAAGTTTTATTTATTCTTACGCTGATTGAGTCCAGCAGGATTCTACACAGAATTAGCAGTAGCGACGGTGAGGGCATCATTTTGCAGGGTTTGTACTTCCGGTAATGCTAAGCACTGACCTAATGTCGCCGGTGAAACAGATAACAACTGAGTTTCCCACAGTTATGTACTGTACATATTAATTACTACTTAGAGCTTTATTGCAATAAATGCTCTACTTAATCGCTCCTACAGGTGTTTTTACAGGTGTACTTCAAATTTCTTAAAGCGCTTTCGTCATTCCTTCCTGCTTATGAAGTAAGGATAATAATTGAAGTACCAAGTAGGCTGAAGTATCATTTGTTATTGTTGTGTCTAACTGGATCCTCCCAGAGAGTTTCTGTAAATGAATGATATCATTTCTGCAGAAGTGGGGGGGAAAGTACTGGGACGCTGAATGTCCTAAATCTATACGAACAAACGCTTTGTCATAGCCAGAGAAAGAAAAACAATCATTGTCGGAAGAAATTGCTACAATGCATCGTGATCTGGCCGAGCATGATTCAGTAAAATCAACACACTTGTGATTCCCCACAAAAGCAAACAATAACACTCTTGCAGTAGTCTATGAGACAGCAAGGTTAACGTCTTCTACGCGCGTACAGTATTATTATTGTTGCTCCAGTTCCGGCTGCCCGTAATATGTCAGCGTCAGGTACCTAAGTGTCGACATGATACATTCTAATGATATAGTTGAAACACCCAGCTGCAACAAACTTGGTCGACGTTTGTACTGCACGGGTTTCCTTGATATTGTTAAATTTATCAACAGGTTTGGCTGTCGCGAATATGATTTTCTGACTGACCAAATACTATCCTAACTGCCACAAAGCCACATAAACACACTGTCAATACACTGACCACTCTGTTTTGACTGGCCTGTGCTAAAAAATCTCTAGATAACAAAAATGCAAAATAATATGTAATCGGCAGACATAATTAGTCATATTGCCGTATTACAGACACATACAAGATAAAAAAACGACTCCCCATTACTCTTGCATGCTTTATTGGCAATTGCAATTCATCGATTGTGTAAGTACATACAGATACATGTATGTGTACAGTATGCGCTACATCAAAGTACGGTTATACTTCAACCGAAGAAACAACACTATCATTTACTGTCCAAGATTTTTACCGTGCCTTTAAATTGTTATCCGTGCATTGTATTCCCTGTACATCAGCAGTATATCGCAACACATAAATGAAACCTTAAAACTGTTTTTACCGCGTACAATGGCTACCCTATGATTTAGCATCAGATTCGTTCTTGTGATCTGGCATGTGGTGCACGGGGTGTGCACCACTGACCACTTCCGCATATGTAGGTGGAGCGTCTAGCGGCTGTGCAGCGGGATAAGGCAACGGTTGGCCAGCCCCAGCAGGATAACTCGGGAGATCTGTTGACGGATGCGGCAGTGACGATCCCGCTGGGTACGGCGATGTCCCAGTTGAGCTGTGATCCGGCGCCGTCGGTTCGCGAGCGGAGCGAATGACCACCGGAGTGGGCGCGTTACGCCGGGCTTCGTACGCTACCGAAACAGTCAGATCCTCTGCAGCTCTGGCTCTGGCAGCACGGTAACGGCTGTGCCGACACGCAGCCCCACAAATCCCCACGAGTGCGGTAATAACGACGGAGACAACAATCGCTACGAGTTCGCCCGTACTGGTCGTATCGGGTCGCCTGGTAGTATAATGCCAATTCCAGGACCACGTGGTGGTACGCCACCAGGGTATGGCGGTTGTGGTGAATCCAAACGGCCTCCATGTTGTAGTAGGTCGCGCCCTTGTAGTGGTTCTGGTGGTAGTGCGCGTTGTTGAGCGCTGTGTTGTTGTTGTGACCGCCATCCACCAGGGGGTGGAGATACCCGAGGGCCAGGTAATTGGTACGAAGGGTTGCCATGTGGTTGTTGGTCTATGAAATAGAATGAGTGAAGCTTCTTTTAAAGCAAATCAGCTGGCCGACATTGTCTCACTTACATGGATCCGCTAAAAAGCGTTTCGATAAATTCGTTTACATGCTGCCAGCACCAAATGCTACTCAGTAGTAACCCTCATCCTCAAAATCCTACCTCCTAGTGGTTGTCGTTGGTCGAGCGGTAGCAGGCGTATCGCACTGAGCACTACTTGTGGGGTTTTCGCCTAGCGAGGGTACATAGATACTGGGACAGTTGATGCGGCTATTCGTAGTGATCGGTGGGCAATATAGCTCGTTGTGGATGTAACCATTCAGTGCACGACAGTAGGTACTGTTGCTGATAACTGAACCTTTACAAAATCAAAACAATGAATACGCATAAACTAATTAACTGGGTATCGGTATGGGTCGGAAGCACTTGCCTTGGATGATAGTGCTTTGAAGGAGAGTGTAGTCAATGACGATAACGTATCCGGAAAGTGTTACGGAGGTTCCGGTCGATCTATCGTACACCAAATGGACACGAGGTTGCTGGCTGTAGCGTGTCAGATATTGTGCAATGGAACGCCACGCCACTAAACTGAACTGATTTGTGAGTTGCTTGCCCACAGTTCGGTCGTTCGCAAAGGTTTCCTCGATTTTGAAAACATGACCGGTAAGCGTGCTGATCTGCCTGTAAAACCAACATGTATTATTGTATTCACCCTTCGGAGTCGGCAATGCAAAAAACACGACTGAGATTAATGACAGCTGCAATTTTAATACCGTATGTTAAGATACAGAGCGAAACTCCCGCGAACAGTGTTTGTACAGTTTTCCTGCAATTCTACCGTGACTTCACATGTCCGTGTTGGTAAAGTGGCAAACCGAAGGGTACCAGCTCGGCCCTCTGTTATCGTTGGACAAGGAATAGTGATTACCTCCCCGCACCGATTTTCGATATTCACTAAAAAAATTACATTTCGTTTTTATGAAATACTTTAGCCTATGCCAGATATATGACAAAAGTGTAATTTTCGCATTTACGTAAATTTAGAAATGATATTACATAAGACAACTTGACACGCATGTTAGTTGTTTTGCACGAAGAGTTTAAGAGGTGTTTACCTAATGGATATGTGACGTTGACCGGAATTTCCCGAGATTCTGACGCTGAAAAACGAGGAAAATTCTGTAATACCAATAATTATTCCGAAAATTGTGTTAAAACAACGCGGCACGTACAAACTGCATCCTTTGCTCCGGAAACTGCCGCACAAAAGACAAGAAGCCTGGAAAGCACCAGAAGGTAAAATACGTAATTATACATTTTGAATGATAGAAATATTTATCATGACTCCAAAATCATTGTAAACTATTGCATGGTTATAAATTTCAGTATACAAAGCGCGCGCACATTTGCAATCAACTGTTCTGATTAGATAAGCAAATAAGAGAATTCTCTTTTGACAAAATTAATGTCTTGTCTTGCTACGAGTAGTGAAACAATTTTATCACTGTGCTACTGGACATAATTGAACATGATACCGGGAGACAATTGTCCACTACCAATGAGTACGTACGTACAATACGTCTGTCTGAAGTTCATCAAAATGGTAAATTTTGTTTTTCTATCGAGTACAAAACAAAGCAAAGGGTGCTCAACCATTCCGAGCATTTCATCACATCGAGTCTGAAACATCACTGTGTCAGAGCGGCATCCGCTCTCTATAGGATCGTTCGATAGAATATTTCATTAGATTTGTATGCTTTGCCGATAGCCTAGTGGTGCCTCTCTCGGCCTTAGAGTATGGAGGTTGTGGGTTCGATTCCCTCAATCGGCAGATTTGTCAGGAGATCGGCGCCACCGCCCAGGAGTGTGGGTTGAGTGGGTGTCGCACCGACTCCGATTTCGTGTTCTGTGTGATGCGTTTACGGCCAGAGATTGGCAATGCATGCACATGGCCGACACGTTTGGATTTCATTCTGTTAGATTTTGGCTCGACAGCATGGAGACGTCCATGCTGTACGAGATGGCCTTCGATATTTCCGCATGCTAGAGTGACCCTTCGGGGCTGTTTCGATGTTGTGGGTTTCATCCCTTTATTAACATCTTTCGATATTAATAAAGCTATCGTTTGTGGCGTCGTTGTTTTCCGTTGCATTCCTATGCAGCGCAGGCATAGCGCTTACATGGTGGAGATGCGATTTCGATCCCTGATCCCCCTATCGACGTTCTGTTTCTCTACGCCGAATTTGGATGCGGTGTTTGGTACTGCATGGTATTTTCCCCGATCCCCTACCGACGCAACTTCCTAATCCGATTTTGGATGCGGGGTTTTTTTTCCTGCATCGAGCTGACAGTGCGTGTAATCAACCGCGCGCACCAGTCGAATTTCCCTGTACGGCCTACCGGATTCCACGCTCATGTAACAGCGCAGTGTGGAGTCACGCCGTATCGCGAACCCGGAAACATCAGCATCGTAACCCGACGCATCGCGGAGGACCGGAACTGATTTCTTCTCATCACCAGCCGATAGCTGCCTTCCCCACATATCGGAGGAACTACCAGACCCTGGGCATTCTTCAGTGGAGGAGCAGAAAGGCGGAATCGAGATCCTGCATCCAAAACGACAGTCGGGAAGCAGCACACCGAACGCACCGCACCGTACATTCGTCACGTCGAGTCAGTGGCAGGTAAGCCAATCTGCTGTAGCAGAAAAGCCGAAAATTTCTGAATTAACTTTCAGAATAATTAGCCGAATAATTTTCGAAAGCAATATTGCTTTTATTCTCCGATAAATTGGCCGAATACAGTAGCTTTCACGAGTTGCTGTGTTCTGGTAATGTCGTACGATAATGCCGTATTTGTATCGACTTCATAGTCGATTCCATCGCCGAAATTCTATTCTGCAACAGCAGAAAATATTGCCGTATTTCTCAAATATTTTGATAGGATAAACCCACTGAAATTTATCCATGATAACCGGAATTTTGCCGTGCACGAGAACCATCGAGGTTGTCGTGCATTATCGACCTTGCGTTGTCGATTTGCACTCTGTTATCGAGTGTGCGCCGAAAATTCGAAACCATAATTCATGAGAATTACGGAATTATTCTGCCGATTTGTCCGCAATTATCGCCGACTGTAATCATCGGAAATTTTATTACGGAAATTGTGGAAAACTGCGGAATATTGCCATCAATACAACTGCGTGTTGTAGCCGATATTTCTGCCCATTAGCCGATTTGATTAAACAAGTTAGTATCGGTAAATTACTGTAATTTATCAGAATTACAGCCGATTATTTCCTGATATTTTGCCGATACAATCACAGTAAAAATACCGAGATTAACATGCCGTAAATATTTGAACTTTGCAAGGTCGAATACAGGGTCGACTGCAGAATATCGCAGTAGATTTTGCCGATCGTTATCAAACACGGAAGTTGCTGCTACCGTGCCTTATCATAGCCGTCTAGTCTCGTTCATTGACATTGCAGTCAATTGCAATACGAGTCGTGAACTTCTAGTAACGTAATTAACAATTGTATTCCGATACCGCCGACATGCAGCGTACACCGTTAAGTAGGGTGAAACAATTCGCCGCTAATGCGATGAAAAGTGCCGAACGGATTGTTCGCACTCAGCCGATTGATTCTGATAACTTCAGAAATGTTAACCGAGCCGATAGTGCGTCTTGTTCTTTATCCAGTGACATTATTGCCGACCTGGAACGAAGAATATCAGACCGAGATGAACTGATTCGCGAATTGCAGTGTGAAATAGCACAACTGCGTACAAAACTTCGTGAAAAGCCGGAAAATGTAGAAAATTCTACAGGCCGATCTGCGCAAAATGCGACTAGTAATGTCGTTTATATTCCGAAAAGCCGAAAGCACACAAAATGTGAAGCTAAAAAGCCGAATACCGAGTCGAGTGATGATAACGAAAATCAGCAACCGGCAGTTATTAGCAATAATAATACTGCTAATAATACCGATATTAAGCATTCGTTTATTAAGCCGATTGTTAACAATTACCGTAAGCCGAGTCGTGCTCAACAGTGGGCAAATAACATCGGTAAAATATCCGAAATTACCGATCTCACACCGTGTCTGAAAAAGACGATGCGAAACAATAGAGTTGCTAGATATTGTCAACATTGTGACATTTCTGGACATTATTATGCCGACTGCTCTTACAAAGAAGTGCCGCGATCGAATAATCCTGTCTATTTAGCTTATCATGATCCAGTTACTGGAAGCCGCCGCTATGCACGAGATTTCTACCGAAACCGAATAAATTCCGCCGAACAGCTGCATTCCAGTCTTAATCCCCCGCGATCCCCGCGGCAACCAGTTATTCACAGTACTGCAGCGTCACCGCTGTTACAGGAGCCGTCTTGTTGTAACCAATAAAAATATATGCCGATAGTTAATATTTTCCCGATACCCGTGGCATCCGCCACGTGCTATCTTAACTGTACCGTTCACCGCCTACTATTACGTTTTAAATGCTTTGGAAGATTGCCGGTAATTCGAATGATGTCGACCGACGTGATTATTCGCCATTTGATGCTTAAGTCATTTGGATTAGATTCAAACCGACATGATCGTGCAACTAAATCGAATCTCTAATTAAGCGAATTAAATGCTAGACATTCGAAACCCGTGCGAAAATGTCCGAAAATTCTAGATAAATGATTTATAACAGCAATTGTCAAGTATCTACCGATCGATAATTTGTCGGATTATAAGTAAGAAAGCCGTTGCAGTTAAAGCTGATCCTGTTCAGTGGTGAACCGCACAATTCTAATTTACTATCGGAAAGATTTTTGCTAATATCGGTATAATCGAAAGTAGGTAAAACGCTAAAATGTTCCTGTAGCTTGCAGTGAAGCCAGTTACTTGTATGCTATTTTAAATTGCTGTAATTTCTGGAATTACGTCTGTTTTTTCGACTGACAGGCGTTGTCAAGAGATCTCGTACCTTTGCCGCAGTAACATAGCAAGCCGATAATTACCGATAATTTAATAAACAGCTAAATCATTACAGCCGGCGCGATATGGCAATTTTTAATTGAGTGGTCCATACCTCTCGTATTAATAAAATCCCCACTAATGTGGTGGTCCGTACCTGCTAATAATACCGAATTAGTACCGACAAAACCGACAAATACCGATAAAAACCCTTACTATTTTTGAGGTTCGTAGCTCTGGCCGGTAAACCCCCACCGTCGTTGTGGTCCGTACTCTTGCCGATTACCGTAATAATCCCCACTAAAAATTGTGGTCCGGCATTCTCGCATTAATTGTGAGAATCTTAAGCCGAATTAATCGTCGAATAATTACAAAATATTAGCCGCTTACTATAAAGTACCACAGTAAGATACCGTATTATGTAGCCGAAAACTTCCCCTTGAAATTGTGGTCTGAACCTTTGGATTAATTTGACCATTAAAATGCCGATAAATTGTCGATAATAATTTAGAATTATTATCTTGCCGACTTATAGCCGAATAAATCTTTAATTTATTGAAATCAATAAGTGTAATTTAATTGTAGACCGAATGAAGCCGATGCCGATCATTGTTATCCTTGCGATAACAATACGAACCGCCGGGCAATATGCCAGATGATTTGTTTATCGAATTGCCGACCCTGCCATATGGCGATCGATGATGCCGAATTTTTCACAAGATTGTGGAAGAAGCCGACACGATCTGTGTTTTCCGAACTTATCAGTGAAACGCTGTGTTATCGCTGCCGCCGTTTCAGCCGACTATCCTGCTACTGCTGACACTGACGTTGACATGGTGCCGGATGCGAGTGCTGAATAATCGGATGCCGAGCTTTGGAGGACAAGAGATTCTCCAGAATGGAACGCACCAGTGCAATACTTTCATTAGCGTTTGTTTTATTAATACTATAGAATATGCCGCCATGTTGGGCCGCATTTTCATTTTGTTTATTGCTGTGCTGTAGCCTCGAGGGACCTCGGCGTCCCGCCCCGTGGCATGTCAGGAGATCGGCGCCACCGCCCAGGAGTGTGGGTTGAGTGGGTGTCGCACCGACTCCGATTTCGTGTTCTGTGTGATGCGTTTACGGCCAGAGATTGGCAATGCATGCACATGGCCGACACGTTTGGATTTCATTCTGTTAGATTTTGGCTCGACAGCATGGAGACGTCCATGCTGTACGAGATGGCCTTCGATATTTCCGCATGCTAGAGTGACCCTTCGGGGCTGTTTCGATGTTGTGGGTTTCATCCCTTTATTAACATCTTTCGATATTAATAAAGCTATCGTTTGTGGCGTCGTTGTTTTCCGTTGCATTCCTATGCAGCGCAGGCATAGCGCTTACAACTGCAAAAAAATTTCATTTTACAATTTTCTTTCGGCATTGCAGCAAGTTTTTGAATAAATTCAGGAGGCTCGTTGCCCAGGCCAATGGAAACACCGCACTGTTATATAAATCATTCTCTTTCCAGTGACTAAGTAAGCGGAGTATGGTAAGAAGTAAGAAGCGGGGTAAGGTTGATGGCTTTCGAATTCGCTTCGAAAGTTTCGTTGTTTGTAACTGCTGCTGCTGCAGATCGTTTCTCAAGTACGACTGTTCCAATGTACAAATCTACGCATACGGCGTCCCACACCAATTGTTTTCTTCCCGGAATGGTGGAGATTAAGTCGTTTTCCCCCCACTGCATATCGGTTTCCTTACACAACAAAATTCCTGCCGCAAAATTATCTCATTCGCAAACACAGTAAACTTTCACATCCTAACTACAACTGTTTTATTTTACAAACACGTTTTACTATAGAGATCAAGCAACGCTCCATTAAAAATCCGCCCTCCCCAATATAAAAGAGTATACCACGTGGGATCGTAAAGCAGAAGTCAATGGCGAATCTTGCTTGGTTGTCGTTCAGCAGAGCTTGTCCTCCAGCATTAGAATTCATAGATTTTTCCAGTGCTTGGTAAGAGGAACCGACGCTATAATGGATTATGTTATGATGCAACTTAGTCTCACGATAGAAGCACGTCATTTTGTAAACCACTGAACCAAACCACGTCAAATTAACAACGCGCTCTATTGAAAAAAAAGAAAACTGATTCGAAATTACGGTACTCTGCAACCTTATGCAACGCTAAGATTAAAGCTAACAATTATGTTTGCGCATTTTGCAAATCCATTCTGATATGGAGGGCTGGGATAACCGGTGACTCACCCTTTCTAACAAAACTAGTTGCTCTGCCTCCAAGAATTCAGCATTTTGCACACAAATGTCAGCAGCGGTGGCAGTTGTTACGGTTTTCAGCATGGTAATTGCCGTCGCGCACACTAAGATTGTCGTCGTGTATCCATGAAATAAAGAGAGGAACATAAAAACAATACCTGCTGTTGGAGCTGTGCCTGCGCTACGCAGAAACGTGGCGGAAAGCACACACCAAAACGAATAAAATTGGCACAATTTTAAAATAATCGCACATGACAACACAAAATCTATCGGAATGACAATGACAAAGGAAAAAGGAACAAAACAGCGAACAAATCTCTATCCATCGTTGACGAGGATTATTCCGAAACAATCGAGATGCGCACACGACCACCGCTCGACGAAGACTGACTGTACGGCTCTGCCAAAGGCAGACACGATCGACGATTCAGCGAAGCTGAATCCACGAAACCACACCCACATCCCTGACGCACACACTCGCGGCTCTAACATGCCACGGGACGGGAATCCGAGGTCTCTCGAGGATCCATCCAAGTTACCAGAAAATGAAACAAAGTAATGTCGAAGTATTAGAGAAAAACATGTGCCATTTAGTGCCATTTTTTATCGAAAAATAAAGTTAATAAAAATCCAAAAATCACATCGAAATGCAATCAAATTCTATCGGAATGAGCAATTAAAAAAACTTTGGTTAATTAAAAGATCCAATTCCGGAGATCCACTCCAATCCAACATACGCATTGCTGCGTCGGTTCACATCCAACATACGCATAGCTGCGTCGATCCGTCGTTACTTCGATCCATCATCATTTGCCACTTCCAACGCTTCCTTGACGGACAACGTTTAAGTTTCCATTTCTACGTTCGGGTGTACAACTGTAAAATCAGACAACTGCCCCACGTTTCCATTACGGTACATCACCACATCAGGTCGACTTTGAGTTGTCAAGTCGTGCAGCGTTCCATCCGGATTAAACACGCGAATATATCCGTCGTAAAACTTGCAGTAATGCAATTCCTTCTTTTGTGCCAAGGTTTCGACTTCAGGTAAGTCTTCGCCGTTTCGCAAACGTCGCAACACATCCTGTGCCATATCGTCAGACACTTCCATTTCTTCCAACAATCTCGCTTCTCGTTCGGTCGGCATAATATGATCGCCATTCGAGTCACCAACTAGCTGCTCATGTGACTGAACATCCATCGACGCTGCATTCAGTACGGTCGAATCCACACTCGTACTGTTCGGCGGAATTTCCACAATTCCCACTGGATCAAGTCCAGAATTCTGTTTCGGCTGTGTCTGCGATTTATCAGCAGACACACCTCCCGCAGGAGTTTTTTCGATCACCGGTAAAACAGTGTTCGCTCGCTTCGTTCGTGACGTACTAGCGTTCGAAGAATCGGCCAAGGTTTTGCGTTTGCTAGCCAATCCTTTATCGTATTCCTCCTGTCGAGTCTTCAACCGCTTAATATTATCGTAAACACCATCGAAGTGTCCATTATATTCAGGTTCGATACTCGTATTCGATTCTTCAGACAAGGAAATAATTCGAGACAAATACTTCGCTTCCATAAATTCGAACTGTTGTTTACCCATCTCCTTAATTACATCGGTGAGCAATGGGTAATCGGCAATATTTCGATACAGAGTATTATGGGCTGAATAACAACCCAATCGAGCTGCAATCATCATGACTACAGCTTTCTTATATCCGGTATTCGGTCGAATATCTTCCCATTTAATCGGCTTCGAATTAATTCGCTTATACACGCCACTACAGACCTTGCATAAAAACCAGAATTTAGCAGGATCGGCGTCCGGCAGGGCAAACTGAAGTAAGAAGTACTCGGCGTTGGCATTCCCAACAATTCGAAATTGCGAAATTAATTCGTAATTCACAGTCAAAATCGGTTCGAGTAATCGGGTCGGATCTAGCACTGAAGGTAAGTTGTTTCGACGCTGCGTATCGTAACGGCGACGTTCCAATATTCGATAAAAATTCACTGGGCCATAATTCAAGTTTCGAATACGTTCAGGTAAGTCAATCATTCGAAAAATTTCGATAAACTCATGGATCATAATTTTAATGGAATTACGATCAGGTTGTGTCGAGGCTCCAGTGACTTCCACAACTTTGTCGACGTAATTCTCAATATTGCGCAGAATGATCGTTACGTCTTTTCGAACGTTCTTAAAGTCAACTTCGTTGCGTCGAATAACTGAAGAATCTGTACGAATATTCGTATTCTGCCACGTTCGATTGCTGGCATGCAGCTGATTCTGCAAATTATCAGAATTACCACACGAATCGTTCACGTTATTCGAATTATTATTAAAATTAGCCACAACATGTGTACGAGACTGATTTTCTACATCGTACGTCGTTCGATTACGCTGTTTATTATTTCCGCTCGAATTTGACTCGGTAAGCAATAATTCACTCACCCGATCGGTCATATCATTATTAATCGACGCATCCATCATTCTTTGAAGGCGATGTTTGCTATCTTTCGGCCAAGGGCATGGCATCACCATCTTCGACACTGGATCGTACTTGAAACATCCAGCCGGCAGACTGTTGGTGATATTTTGCATTTCATCTTGCGATAGGGTTCCGGGTGGCACAGACAACGCGGTTCCAGTTGTGAAACGCTGTCCCGTCTGCGCTGGCGTCGGTGACTGTCGATAATAAAACTGATTCGGCACGTTCGGTTGTTGCATCGGCAACACAGGAAAAATTGGCTGCTGCGCTGGTGGCAACATTCGCTGCAGCATGGTAGGGTTCACCACGCTGTTCGATGGATTAATAAATCCATAATTCTGCTTATTTGGCGCATTAGGTACGATCGGCTGAGGAATCTGTGGAATCGGCTGATTAGCCACATCGATAAAATCAGGGTCGATAACCGTAGCCCATTCGTCTCGAGCACCGGCTTCGGCGATGAATTTTCGAACTGCCATCTTCATTCCGGCCAACTGATTCGGTACGTTCTGCAATAATTTGGTAAGCATCGACGTTCCTGTACAGCACTTCGCCATACAATCTCGGAGTGACGGTCGACGGATGCATAAGTCGGAAATTCTTCCCAAGGAGACATTCGACACATTTTCGTTCGTTGGTGTTCAATGCGCGTCGCATACAATCGGAAACCGGTTCGGGGTTGCGCATATTCGAATACATATCTGGAATCGAAAAATAATAATATTAAATTTATACGAGTCATTCGGAAATGCGGTGTAATTGCATCGTAACGATATTTATAAGTATTATTATTAACTATTTAATCGAAATTCTATAAATTTATTACTCGATAATACGCTATGATTTTCAATTTAGTTTTGCCAAATTTTCCAACATGCTCCACGATGAGGATTATCGATTACTACAATTCGAGGGTCATCATACATTCGGGCGATCGCTAAGGTAATATTAAGTTCGGTTACGTCAGCAAAGTCGCTGCGCACAACTACTGTATAATTAATAATCTGGTCTGGCGTGCTGCCATCCGGATCATCGATTGCACGAACAATATGTAGTACGACACAATTCCAATCTTCCAGAGTGTTAGGTCTGAAATAAACTCTGAATGTTCGAAGAAAAGAACGATAAGTAGTCGCGGGATAAAAAGCTGGTCGCTGACGTCGATTATAAATGCGCACTAATCGACGTTCTTCATACGATCGTTGAATTACAGGATATATCGCATGAACAGGATATCGCCTATTTAATCGATCGCTTATACGTTCGGCAGTGGGTTCCAGACCACTCTCCTCAAGCTGTTTAATTTCGTACGAGATTTCTTCTACTGTAGGTTCTGGGCGGGAAACACGGACTTCCGGTGTCACCTGTCTAATCAAAGCATTAATTCGAGAACGATTAGTTTCAGCAATTGCATATCGATCATTCTCACACGGTACGACTTCACCATCGGTAACTAGCGTTCGTATTGCAGTTACTATGTTCGTATGTACTCCAACAGGATCGATAATTTCCAAGGTAAAAACATTCTTAATATAGCGTACGATTTCTTTGATTGTCGATCCACGCATATCGTGAATTACACGAATCGCTAAAACAACTGCACGCTGAAAAGTGTTCGCATCGTAGAGACGGATATGTTCGTAACGCC